GGATGGGGAGGGAGGAGGCGGGGATGAGGGGTGGGGTGGAGGGGGGTGGGGATGTGGATGTTGATGTTGATGTTGGCGGTGGGTGGAGGATTAGGTTCATCAGCTCGTTTTCAAACGATTCGTTGTACGGCACGGTCGAGGGAGAGAAGTCGATGGCGGGGGATGTGAGGTCTGTGTCTTTTGTGTCGTGGGCTGGGGTCGGTGGCGCGTTGCCCATGGCGGTGTCGGCGTTTGTTGACATTTTTCGTTCTTCTGGGGGTTGGGTAGTGTCAGGGTTGCGGTTGTAGTTTGTGATGTTTCTTGTCAAGTTTCGCAGCGAGCGTGGTGAGATAGGTTGGGTGTGGCGTGAATCCCAACGCGCGCGCGCCACATCTTGGCATGTCCGTCGCCCATGTCCGCAATCCGTCATACCCTTCCTCCCCGCCGCAACAACAACAACAACCACACTACCACGCCAAAACATAAAAAATGGCCGACAAACTCCGCGCCCAACAACAACTCGAAGCCCTCCAAGCGCGCTACATCGGCATCGGCAGTGCAGACACGACAAAACATGAATGGACGTCCAACATTGCCCGCGACTCGCTCACCAGCTACATCGGACACGCGCCACTGTTGCAATACATGAGTATTGGGCTGGGCCAGCCGCGCGAGAAGACGCGCGTGCAACTGCTCGAGCGCATGGTCAGGCCTGTGGGACCGCCGCCCGAGGTGAGTTTTGTCAGGAATCATCTTCAAGGAGAGGTTTTGTCTCGAGAGGCGGTGGGCTAATACCCATGTGTAGCAGCAAGATTGAGAGAGTGTCAAGGGTTGTTTGTGGGATCGGATTGAGAATACCAGTTGATCAAAGAGGAAAGATGCATGTGTACGGCATTATGGCGCCCGCCCCAGCTTGGAGGAAGGGGGATAGCAAGACAGACTAGATCGTTGGTGAATGACGAGGGTTGTACATGTCTCGCCACCACATCGAGGGCACAGTTTGGAGGTTAGGGCTCATATGAGGACTGACGAACATGATTCTCCCGACTGAGGCGCGCAGAGCGCTGGGAGACGACTGTAACACGTTCGTTTTCCATGGGTATTTTAGAGACCCCCGTGCCGAATGCCATCATGTCTTCACAATACCTAATGCAACTTCTAGCCAGTCTCCTATCTCAGACTCCAAAATTCCCCAAGTTCCATGGATGCTTCATGCTTTATGCTTTGTGCTCCACCCCCTTTTTAATCACTGTCGCTCGCACTGGCCCCGGCGCCATCGTCATCCTCCTCAACCACATCTCCACCCGCCTGCATCGCAAACTCGCCCCTCTGCAGAATCCCCTTGAGCACCGTATTCCTCGGATCCACCAGCTCGACCGGCTTCAACTTGGCCTTGTTCCGTATCCTCGGGTCGCAGCCAGCATCTAGCAGGATCTCGACAATGGCGTGGCCAGCGTCGGCCCATTCGGCGGGGCTGAGCGAATTGACGTAGCGCACGGCCTTGTGGAGGGGGGTATCGGCTTCCATGCGGTCGACTTCGTCAATTTCGAGACCTTCTTGGTCGAGGAGGACGTCTAGGACTTCGTCTGCAAGACGGTCGAGTGTCAGCTTTATATTCCACGCCTAGCATGTTCCTCCCTGGATGTGGATGTTCATGGGCGGTCTATCAAAGCAAAGAGGTGTGGTGAGACGTACAACTTCCATAGCTCGCGGCCAAGTGCAAGCACCCGTTGCCCACACCATCTCTCGCCTTGTTCAGTATCTCGGCAACGTATTCTGTAGCATCCTTCCCGCTCTTCGAGGCTGCGGAAGCGAGATTGGCAATTGTCTCTTCGAGAAGTTCGGTGTTGTTGCGGCGGCAGGATTCGAGTATGAGTTCGCGTGGGGATGCTCCCTATAGTCACCGTCAATTTCCCTGTATACTCTACCAAAGCAAAACAAGATTAAGCTACAATCCGTACCTCCTCGTCCGCCATCTTTCTTTCAGTGAGTGAGAGTGAGAGAGGGGATGGGGGGATGGTGGGGGGGAACGGGTTATATCAGGATGCAATGATGTGGTTTGATGGATATCGCAACGATCGTGTACAAGAGCACACCACAAGGGTTGTGTGGTCAATAAGCTGTCCAAAGAGCAGAGACGAGGCTTTATTTACAAAAAGCAAAAAAGGGACCAGGGCGGGAGATTTGCATGCAATGACAACAAGCAAACGACGAGAAAGCCAGCCATGCGCGCTGCGGCCTCCCCCGGCGGTGGACGCTTTTGCCCCGCACTCGCCCGACCTTTCCCTATCCAGGCTAGCGCTCCCATGGGCCCCGCCATATGACTTTTTGGCTATGATGGAATTGGAATGCTATGGCAAAGTTCAATATCAACATCGAGGTAACTTTTACCTTGTAACTTCTTCACCCCATCACCACCGCCGACAATGTTACTCTGTACGCCCCTCCTCTCCCCTCCCTCCTTTCAACCGCCCCCAAACTAACCACCCGTCCTCCTCCCCCAGTCTGCCCCACCTGCTCCAACATGCTGCGCGTCTCCGCCATTCCCCCCGGCGACCCAACCACCGCCCCCTACGAGGGCCAAAACCGGTTCGAATGCCTGACCTGCCCCTACCACTTCGTCATCAGCAAGCGCTACTACGAGCGCAAGTACCTCAAGAAGAAGGAGGTCGAGGACATTTTGGGTGGCAAGGGTGCCTGGGACAATGTCGATCGCACGGGGGTCCAGTGCCCGAATGAAAAGTGTAGGAATGATGAGGCGTATTGGTATCAGTTGCAGATTCGGAGTGCGGATGAGCCGATGACGGCGTTTTACAAGGTTAGTGCTTGGTTGTGATACTGGAGGGGGTTTTTTTCCTTGGAGAGGGGAGAGAAAGGATGAGCTTGCTAATCATCGTGTTAGTGTACAAAGTGTGCCAAGGAATGGCGAGAATAACGGATCAAGGAAGAAAAGAGAGATGGAGCATTGCATTTGCGTGGTGTCTTCTTGGCCTTATTTTATATTATTTGATTTTGGGTGGGAAATCGGCGTTACAATATACCCTCCCGCAATGGATTTCATTCCACTCGTCGACTTCTTCACACATCACACCAAACGTCCGCATCTGTCAATGACAAAGTGTTACTTATTTAACACAAGTACTATACGGCCTTTGCAAACCAGACAGCCGACAGGTTCTAGCGCAAGCCAAACTAACAAATCAAAATAGATATCCCTTGACTCCATCCAAAAGCCAACGTTACAATAAGCACTAAAACCTCCCATATTCAACAAACGCCTCTAAAAGCAGGGAGAAGAGCAACATCGCCACCTATCCATCCATGCCTCCCACCACTGTCTCCCGAGTAACTCCATACAAGGGAACAACACTATCGCTAATCCCCTGCACCCGATCCCTTTCCCGATCCCTATCCCCATTCCCCATGCCCATGCCCATGCCCATACCCATACTCCCGCCATCTTCCCTCGGGCTTCCCATGGCCGGCGTATTACTCGGCCACGCCCACAAGGCATCAAAATCAATCTGCTCGGCCAATCCACTCTCCTCGCTATGCAAACTAGGCACACGCGTGGCATCGAGCGCCGACAAGTCCAGCATCGCTGATAGAGACGGCGGTTTAGACGGTGACGCAAAGGCGGCGTGAGGGGATGTTGAGAAGGGAGATGTCGCAGACGGTGGCTCTTGGATGGGAGAGAGGTGAACTGAAAAGTCTTGCGAGTGGGCGGGTCGGTGGCTGTGTGATTGCGCATGCTCATGGTTGTCGGGGTGGGCCGAAGGCGCGTTGATGGGGTGGAAAGTTGGGGGTTGGGGGTCTGGAAGAGGCGCCGTGTGCATGCCTGGGTAAATGTGTATGGGCACTTGATGGAGCCTCGGAGTTGCATTCATGGAGCCTGTGGAGGTTGGCAACCCCCCAACAACACTATTGATTTGGGTTGTCTGTGTCTGTGTTTGCCCTGAATTGGTCACGCCATAGAGCTGCGATGCGATACTAGGCAACGTGGCATTGTCATTTTGTGACTGCTTGCGCCGTAACCGCTGTTGTGCAACAACGTCACGAAAGGAGCTGAGAATGTAGACGAGACGGCTGGCTTGGGGATCACTTTCGGCGCAATAGTTCATGATGGTCACGGCGTTGAGTATGCAGGTATCGGATGCATCGACTTTGTAGAGGCCTGCGAATTCATTGGCGAGGGCGACAAGAGAGGCCGCAAAAAGGAAGTAAACGACGACTGGATTGCGTCGCGAGAGGTGACCTGCATCGAGGGCATTTTGAACAAGAAGAATGGTGTGGGTCGAGGCGATGACGCAGGCTTCGCTGAACTTCTCCATGCGAAGATACGGCCTTGGTCCTCTTGTAGAGTTCTGGTTTACATGTCGTCGCGTCTCCAAATTCAAAATGTAGAGAAAGAAGGGCCGAGTCAGGAGAATGATGGAATGACAGTAGAACAAATTGACGTGCAGAATAGCAACACCTTGGCTTGGAGAAGCGTTAGCCGCCTGTCGCCAGTGCAATATCGGAGGTAAAGCGCGCGGCCAGGACTTGCAAACATCGGCAATTTCCTGTGCAAGGCGAGTGCTGATCTTGCGTTGCTGGTATACTTTTCGCAGAATCACGCCAATCACGGAACAACTTCGCACGGCAGCATCCAGTGCAGGTGGTCCAGTCTCATTATAGTCCGACGTCGAGTAGACGCCCATGTTGAACGGCTGTTCGAAGACCTGATCTGGGGGCTGAAGAGCGTTGCCCGAGCAATCGTCTTCCGAGATGGCCGTCGGTCGACCCAAGGAGCATGACAGCAGACGATCAATCACGAAGATGGAGCACCACAGGTTCTTCCGCTGTGTCTGCTCCTCTGGGCTGAAGATGACCATGGTCTCCTCCCTATGCAAACCCATCGAGTGCGCTGACCGGGCGGCCATGCCAATCAATGCAAACGCAGCGTTACGCTTGCACTTTGCAAGCAGGTACACGGCCATCAATAGCAGCGCCTGCACCGACCAAAAGTCTTGGTCTTCCAAACCGTTCATAGGATCGCAAAAAGTCTTGGCGTTTAGATAGAATACCTCGGCTCGATCGAGATGCTCGCTCCGAAGTTTGTCAATGATGAAAGCCTCGGTGCCTCCAGAGAGTGGTGTTGCCATTGTCAGTCCAATAGCAAAGACTAGATTGAGGAGACACAGTGAAGACGGCTCTACGGAAAGTGGGTCAGAGTAGCATTTATTGAGATGCTCGAGAAAGCGATCCCGCTCGAAGACTTGTAGCAGACCGTGGGTATTGACGAAGAAGGATTCGACAAGGATCGTGGCAGTCTGCAAATCGGGAAGAAGGTGTATGTGTTGGTAGCCAGAAGGGAGGGAGTAATGACCCTCGACTATCTTGTGTCGACGAGGGTCGTTGGTAAAAGGGGATGGACCGGCAACTGTCTCGACCATCATGCGGAGCAGCTGGAGGAAGGACAAAGTTGCGGAGTCGCCAATGTAGAGCACTCGACCGGTAGGATCCTGCAGCATTCGACTCTGACTGTAGATGATGGCTTCCTCGTCTGCACTTAGGACGGTGGTGCCCCGAGAGGGGACCCCCTGAGCCTCTCCATTGGCTTGGGCTATGGGCAACGGCTGGACTAGAAGAATATCACGTCAACACAAGCCATACAGTGTTGGCCAGATCAGTATACCCACCTGGATTGTTGTTGGTAGCTTCCACGGTCGGCCTTGGCGTTTTGTGGGAAGAACTAGTTTGCTCTTCGATCAACGGCTGAGGGTTGATAGATGATCTGCGTCTCTGAGAAGCGTTCGGTGACGCATTGTTGAAAGCGTTTTCAGGCGTATCTGATGTAGATTGGTCGCGTGCGCTAGAGAAAGTATGTCTATCAGTCATGGTTCAGTTTTGGAGGTGGAGGTGGATGGTCAAAGGCTTAAAAGCTAGGGGTCGGCTACCCAGCTTCCTGGTCCAAAGACATGAATGGGGTCGACTTACTGTGTCCCATCGCTGTCTCCGTCGACTGCCCGTCTTTTGGCTGGTGGTCTGCTGGAATGGCCAGGGGAGGTGGGATCTCGGTCAGAGTAGACACAGGTGAACTTGCGCTGTTCTTGGTCAGTGCCGGTAGTGGTAGTAGTGAGGGGGATATGGATTATAGAGGAGGGAGGGTGGATGCTCACTTTGTCACATGTGTTGCAAGGGCAGAGACCGTTGCACTGTGGAAGATTAGCCAAGATCGTACATGTCCAGGAGTAGACGGCGGTCGACAGTGATGCACCGATGCACGTATGGTGATGTCTCGACAAGTCCGTGCAGGTGGTGGAACTACGCCCAGCACGCCCAGCTCGGAAGTGTTCATCCGATGCTGGTGCTCGTATTGGATAAGAGGAAGAAGAGGGAAAGGGAAGGGCGTGTCCGACATAAGCGGCAACAGGGGGGAAGGGGGAGAGGGCGGGGCAAGTGGCAACAGGGCCTCGAACATGGACGGATACAGCCAGAGTAGTAGAGTAGTAGAGTATGTGGTAGTCGAGGAGGGATAGTGCTGGTACATGCCCGTACCTACGGCGCAGGCGGGTACAACAGTGTATTTTGTAGGCTGGGGGAAAGGAGCAGTCGACTCGCCTTTTGCTTACGCCTCTTGCAGCTCTCACACGCCTGGGCGGTGCGCTGTCGCTGTTCTGTCGTGATGCTATTGTCAGCCCCACGCACGGCACGTGCAGACGCGACAGAGCGAGCGTCCAGATTCAACACACACACAAACACACACACACACACACACCTGGAGGCACTTTGGGTCGTGTCATGATTTCCCTTCCCTCCGTGCGCGGCCGCGTTCACTTTTGTTTATTTTTCAAGGCTTTTTTTCCACGGCTGCCCACTGGCCAGAGGGATCAATGGCAGGGTTGGATGAGGGCACGTGTTCTTTGGCCGAAAGGGCGTGCGACGGATGCCAGCTGTTGAGGCGTGTGGACCTGGTTTTTTGTCGGATAGCACACCCTTCAGCGGATAAGCAAGGTTGAGAGGAGGGAGCTGGCGCCTGATGCGACGACTGACATTTTCCGCTTGTCGGTTGCAATGGCCAGCTGCCAGCCTACCGACGCGGGTGTTTGTAAGGGAGGGGAGCGGGGGGGAGGTTGTTATTTCCTCCAGCCTTGGTTCACGGCTCTTTTTGCTCTCTCTCTCACACCCCCCAACTCACACACACACACAAATACACAGGGACAGTAAATAGTAGTAAGTAGTAGAAGCAGTCGTAGTAGTCGTAGTTGTAATAGCAGTCGTCGTTGTCGTCGTCGTCGTCGTCGTTGTCGTAGTAATCAGACAAAGAGGATGCAATTGGCCTGGTCTGGTCTCTCTCTCTCTCTCTCTGGTGGGCTGTGGACGCTCAGGTGAACGGCTGCACGGTTGCACGCTTGGGGCTGGTTTGCAGCTTCCGCCGGAATGTCCAGGCCCTTGCCGCAGCCCCCCAAAGGAGGCAAGTCCGACCAACCAGCCAACCCCACAACCTTTCTCTTGCCATAGTAGTACAACGCCGGCACATCTTTTCTGCGGTCGCGTGCTTTTTTTTTTTTTTTTTCTTTTTTTCTCCCCGTCTTCTCCTCTCTCTCCCTCTCTCTCTCTCTTGTCTCTCCCCCTCCCCTCCCCTGCTCATCTTTGCCGATCGAGCCCCATGGTGGCTCCTCCTACTATGTACACTCTCCCTAGTCCTTGTCTTTCTCATGTAGGTACTCCACTTGCCAGTGTCACCACCCGTCAAGTCACAATGGCTGGGCATGCACTTGTCCATGTGGGGTTGGGTGGGTGTGGCCATCCGACGATAATCCACCCTCATTACCATGGTCTGCGGCTAGGAGCCTCGCAGCGGCCATTTGCTGCACCGACAAAACGACCTCTATGCACCGAACCTTAACTTTCTTTCCTTCTTTTCTTCTTTTCTTCTTCCATTCTTCCACACATATTTCTCCTAGTATAGAAAATAAACTTCCAACATGGCGCCCTACCTTGGATCAGCCTCAGCATCAGCTCCAGAATCTGACAGGGCTGCACATGGCTTTGGTAATGGGCAACAGGCGGCAGAGTCAAACAAATTGCTCGCAGGCACTCGATCAGCCTTGCAAGAGCTGTTGGACAAAGCAAAAGGCCACTTCCCAGAAGAAAGTCTATCCCACATTACCAAGATCAACTTTTCCACTGCCAACACGGGCACTCCCTACTTCCCAAGCCCATTGAAGCAGACAGAGGCAATCTCTGCCCTCAAGGCTGTCGAGGCTGGTGTAGCATCCACAATAGCAGACCTTGCGACAGGCCCCCAGCAAAGAACCATCAACGTGGACATGGAAAGAGCGACAGCATTCCTCTTCTCCACCTACTTGGCCACGGTGGGAGGACATGACAAATCAAGTCCCAACGTCCACAGTCTTCTCAAGGGTATGATGTTTCAGTAGCTCAAAATCGGGTTCTCAAAAAAAATTAGAAGAAAAAAAATAACTGACAGCCCTAGATACGGATCTGCTAAAGGCACAGGCCATACTATACAGACGCCTGTCAGCCAATCTCTATGAGACTAAGAATCCAGGAGAATACTTTCACCTCCATGGCTCCCTCGAGGCCACAAAGGCCCTCAACATGATTGGTCTAGAAGGCCACCGCCCTGATCTGACAGAGTACCGTCAATGCATCAAAGTCATAGAAGACCACGTGAAGCAATTCACCGCCGATCAATTAGAAGAAATGAATGCAAAGATCCGCCAAGCAGGCGTCACCTGTCTGAAATGGGAAGACTTCTGCGTCACTCCACACGGCCAGGAACTCCTGCACCAACCGCCCTGGAAAGTCGAAACTTTGGAAACTGAAACTCCAGCTGTACCCTTCCCTTTCCAGTCCTCCAATACGCCAAAGCCCCAGATATTGGCAGGCATCCGAGTATTGGAAATATGCCGCATCATTGCCGGTCCAGCCATGGGCCGTGGTCTCGCAGAACATGGCGCCCAAGTCATCAAGGTCACTGCTCCCCATCTCTCTGACGTGCCCTTCTTCCAAGTCGACGCCAACATTGGGAAACACACGGCGGACCTAGATCTCAAGTCGGACTCTGACCGCGCAATCTTTGAGCATCTCCTCGCCTCCGCTGATGTCGTCCTTGACGGCTACCGTCCTGGTAGTCTCGCCCGCCTAGGCTACGGCCCGCGTCAACTTGCCGAGTTGGCAAAGGCAAGGGGAAAGGGCTACGTCTACGTGGCCGAAAATTGCTTCGGTCACGTTGGACCATGGGCCGGCCGTCCTGGTTGGCAACAAATCGCCGATTGCGTCTCAGGCGTAGCATGGGCCCAAGGTCAAGCCATGGGTTTAGATGAACCTGTCGTTCCGCCCTTTCCCATGAGTGACTACGGGACAGGTTGCATGGGTACCATTGCTGCGCTCACTGGGCTCTACCGCCGCGCCAAGGTGGGTGGGAGTTATATGGGCACAACGTCACTGGTACAATACGACGTGTATCTCCTCCAACTCGGTCTTTATGACGCAGACATGATGCGCGACTTGAAAGCCGAACACGACGCCGAATTCTTCCAACTCCGACACAATGACTCGGTGGATGAGGTGGGCAAACGCGCGCTCAAGACCATGAGACGCACGCATCCCGAGTTGTTTGACGAGAAGCACATGCAGCGCGCGTTTAGCAAGGGGTTCAATGCGGACGTGAGGACCATTCGGCCCGTGGTTAGTATGGAGGGGTGGTGGAATGGGTTTCAGCGAAGCTCGCGGCCAAATGGGTTTGATAAGCCAACGTGGGATGATTGGGAAGTCGAGGAAGATTTGGTCAAGGCTTGAGTTGAAGTTTGAATGCGCGGATTTTATTCAAGTACTTTGGTGCGTGGGTAGCAAGTGTGGGTTGTTTGATTGAGCACAAGGTTGCATTATTCCAGAGCGATCTCAATGAACATGATAAGAAGAAGGGCAAAAGGCCCAGTCGGTCTACAACTTCTCTGTGTACGAGATGCACATGTTATACTTCGTCTCAAGCTAATCGAATCTCTCTTATAATAACTCTCACGCCACTCGTTGTGTAAAACTTTGTCAATTGCTTGATCTTTTTTTCCCTTAAATCCATCTACTAGCAATCGCAACGCCTACACTTGATATGCAACTCATCACATTACTCATACACCCAACACACCCATTAACCTCTCCGCCTGTCAAACCCAAGTATCAAAGTCTCCCTCTCCTCTTTCATTCCCATTCATCCCCCTTTCCTCACCTCACACACCCAACCATCCCCACATCAACACCCACCTTCTTTTCGCCCTCCCTCTCTTCCCCTCCCCCTCTCTCCTTTCTTCCTAAACATCCAGCCCAAGAAAAAACCCCACACACAAGATCAACACCCTCCCACACAAACACACAGACACACACGCAAAGAAAATACAGACCCCACATGACGGCATGCCCCACTGCAGATCAGCACGCTTGGTGAACGGTGAGGCTGTCAGATTGCAAGGACGGAGGAGAGGAGAGGATGGGCGGTGGGGAGACGACGACGATGATGATGATGATGATGACTTGGTCTAGAGTAGAAAAATCAATCCCCTCCTTGTCATTCCTTGAATCACCTAAAATAAGAAATCCAAAACAAGTACAGAAGAGCTCCAGATTCACTCATGTCATGTAATTCGTATATGCTATTTCTTGGATTCAGATTCCACATCATTGCTCTCTGAGAAATGGCTATCGACGGATAGATGCTTGTAAACAGCGCACCACTCCACTCCACCACTCTACTTGTCAGCACGGCCATAAAGAGTCATGTCATAGCAATCCCCCGCTGATCCCCTCCCCACCACATCATTGCATCGCAAGCTCCACCTCCTTGCGAACCTCCTTATTTCGACCCCTACTCCGATCCTCCCTCGGCCTCTCCGTCGCCTCGGCAATCTGCAAATCCCCACCGAGTTCCGATCCAGGCACAACCTCGTCGCTCTGCTGGGTAGCCGGCGTGCCTACTCTATCGCTAGCGTGTGTCTCTGTTACTGTCTCTGTAATCCCCAGTGTCTCTATACTGGCAACCAGCCCTTGCTCTTCTACGTTTGGAGTAAGTGCACCCACAACTTCTACAGACTTGTTTACTGTGGCACTGGAAGAAGGATGCTCGCCGACTGCATGGGTGGGTGGGGGCTGGGTTTCTGCTCCCACACCTGTCGTATTCTCTGCTGTTTCCGTGCCTGTGACAATGGGCTCTTCCCGCAGAGGCGTACTGGTACCACTGCGACCATTACTCACATGACTGGTCTGCGGTGTTAGACTTGCAGGTGCCTGAGGACCAAACGTATTCATCTCCTCATCTGATCGACCAAAGCATTCTGCCCACCATCTTGCTTCTCCCTTCCTAGGAAAGATCATGCGTTCTTTGCCGCGAATGTCGTCGTTGACTTCGGGGTCATACCTTGGGTTCAAGAACTCTTGCTTTCGACACAAAAAGTAGTCCCATACACTCCGAGTCCGTTCTTTGGCCTTGGTATCGACACGTTCCTTTTCATTGTCGAACAAAAAAGTGCCGTATTGACAGGAGTAGAGGTGGTAAAGCAGACGTCGTAGGAAACGCTCACTGAACTCGAATCGAGTCGGATGCTGGTAGTGGAGCTGATATACGCAGTCCAGAAATTGGTGAAAAACAGGGGATAGCTCGCCGGGCTTGGTCACTCGAAGTTCTTCTGCAGCGCCAGCTCTGGCAGGTTTTGGTGAAGCAGTATCGGCAATGTCTGGTACAGGCTCAATACCATTCGTATCCGGAAGCTGATTCAGTGACTCATTAGACTCATTGTGTCGATTGAATAGACCTCGAGCACCGCGGATCGCATTTTCAAATGGATTACTACCCGTCGAGCCATCACTATTACGTTCAATCTTCTCGTTCTCGATCGTAAACCACTTTTCATGGCTGAGGAAGCCAGATCGATGGCGGAACATGTGGCCAAAAGAGAGCCAGTCCTTCTCTACAAGGACCATGAAGCCTTCCAACGTGCGATAGTAGGGATCTAATAGTATCTGACTGAGCGCACTCAATTGACTTGTGCGGTCCCATCCGTCGGAGCAGTGGATCAGTACGTGAGAGTGCATAATACCCACTGTTCTGGCAATCAGTGCGGTACCATCTAGAATATTCGCAATATGCTTGATCCAGTTGCTCTTTGCCAATAGGTGCCTATTAGGCGGAAATGAGGTCAAGTCCGATTCTTTAATGGCCTCAATGACGGTATCAAGAGACTTCCGCATGACATGGATGTTGTCGATTCCAAGGTAGGCCTTTTCCGCGCCCGGATAATAATCCATCTTTTCGGAGCCAAGCCCAATCGCCTGCATAGCATACGCATTCACCGTCGGTCTAGCATCAACGATTAAATTTCTCTGTTGCGCTCCATAGACCTTTGGAATGTCAGCATCAGACTCGGGAGCTTCCGTGAGGTCATCCACAACTGTTTTGCCTGAGCTGGGAGCTTCTGTTTCTGAAACGCCCACAAATGAGCTGTTAGCAGCAGACTCGTTCACATTAACTATGCTTGATTCAGGGGTTGCGCCTGCAGTGTTCGACGCAGAGGAAGAGGCAGGTTTCCAGCCACGATTGGTAGCCCATATCGCTGCCACTAACCGCTCATCCTGAGCGTTGCGATTTCCCCGCAAACCGGGAGTTGGTTGAGAGCTGCGCGTGATAGAGCAGTTATTGATAGGGTGTCGGTAGACCAGTGCGGGTATTCGTTGTCGCGACCGGTATTCGCCAGCATATCGGAGGACGCTGTCTGAGACGTTGGAGGGAACCACGAGGAGAGCGGGATATGTCTTCGAGTACTGTTTTGACAGGTTAGGAGATGCTGCTGTCACGGCTATTGCATGGAAAAATGTGTACCTTGTATTCCATGTTGATTTCTGATATCCGCCATCCCTTGTCGGTGTCCTTGGGGCTGATACCCAGGCGCTTCCACTCGCGCCGCGCATCATAGAGCTCCCACCCGTTCTGCTGGTCTTCCGGAGGCTTTGGCTGGTAGCTGAATGCCAACAGCTTATCCAGCCGGCCTATCTTGCAAGACAAAGCACGGATGCTATCATACACATCACGTGCCTTCTTCTCGTCGGGAAAGAAGAAGGCAAAGAAGGTGAAGTCGCGACAGCGGATGCGGATCGAGGGATGCTGGTGCAAAATCGGTGGACAGGGCTTGAGGCAGCAGTAGTTGATCAACGGATAGGTGATCCAAACTTCTTTTTGCCGCCGTGGTTTCGCATCGGGAGGAGCGTCTGCTGGCGGAGGCTGCAAGTAGCTGAAGACGATGTGGTGTGGCATCAAGTGCAGCGTGCCATCGAAACGGACGCCTCTGCGTAGGAGATAGACATCTTCTACCTACAGCAGTCAGTCGCTGAAGATTGCATGTCCTTGTCTTCTCGAAGATGCGCGCATACCTTGCTCACGCGTATCCTCTCCATGTCTGAGTGAGTGAGTGAGTGAGTGAGTGAGTGAGTGAGCGCGCAGAAACCGCGGGGTTGCCCTGTCGAGCCAGCCCGCAGAATAATCCAACTATCTCTAGGGTAGCGAAACAACAACAGCAGCTATGCACAGGCAATAACAGAGGGTAGAGGCACGAGTGAAAGCGTGAAGATGTCAGCTTTTGCACGGGTGTGCTTGCATGGTTGCGATGTATGTTGTAGCTCGCATATGCCTGCGCTTCCATGGTGAGGGTAACATGGTCTATCCCGCCCGCCGCGCCGTCTTGGCAGCATAACGTCACTGTCTCGCCCAAATCCCACTGAGCATCCACCCACATCATGGTCATGACCTTCTCGGATCCCTCTCGTTTACAGACACATCACTGGCTGTGGGGAGACACTAATTCTGGAAGATCTGGTCGATTCATAGACTACAGTCCTACGGTATTCTCGTTCGTGCAAGAAACTCATGATTGGGAAACGAAGCCCCAGAGTCCTATTCTACCAAAGTCGTACGGACCATACGCAACCACACGGGCTACGACTGCTTACCTGGTGCGCCACCTGACTAGGAGAGAAAAACCTCGTGTCAGATGTGCAAAAGTCCGCTGTCCAAGGAACAAAAACCGTGTCATATCCACAAAGTCTGCTTTAAACAAAGAAAACATGAGACCTGTGAATTAGTTGCAAATATGCAATCAGCCTGCACACAATCTCGGCCGTTGCATCCTCCTAGCAACCTCATCTAAGCGGGAGGGGGAGGGGGAGGAATGTCGCTAGGAGGCGGGGGCGGGATGTCGCCAGGTGGTGGAGGTGGAGGCACCGAGCCAGACGGCGGCGGAGGAGGCGGAGGAGGACTTCCGGCAGCTCCATAGCTCTGGAAAAGAGGACCAAGCCCAGGAGGAGGACCAGCAGGTGCAGCAGCGGCATACCCTGGAGCACCATAAGCGCCGGGAGCAGCCATACCTGGAACATTCTGATCGTATCCATAACCACCATACCCGTAGCCAGCGCCAGCTGCGGGAGCGGCAGAGCCCCAGGGAGCTGCGTTATGACCGCCGCCGTAACCGTTCTCTTGTCCGTACGACTGACCGCCACCACTTGCCCAAGGCGCAGGAGCACCAGCAGTGCTGTCGCCACGGCCACGGTCATCGCGGTCGTTGCGAGCCCAGGGCGCAGCACCGCCAGTCGCACCACGTTCCCAAGGCTTGACGGTACGCTCGCCTCCGCCATAGTTGTCGCCACCAGCTGGAGCGCTTCCGTTGCCGTTGTATTCGATGGCGGCGCGGGACTGACCGGATCCGCCTCCCATTTCGGCCATGAAGGCGTCGAGATCGTTCTCTGGAGCGCCACCAATACGTCCCTGCTGGCGGTTGTCGGGGCGGGCGTCGTTGCGCCAGGGTTGGCCGGCCTTGCGATCCGGACAATCTCGAGCCATATGTCCAGCCTGGCCACAGACGCGGCAGATGATACTGGCCGTGAAATTCACCTTTTGCGGGCAGTCGTACTTGCGGTGACCGATCTCGCCGCAGTTCTGGCAGGCCTGGTTCTCATCGTCACGAAGGGTACCGTTGAGGGCGGCAAGCTCACGAAGCTGGTTACGCTTGAGTTCGTTCTGACCCTCAGGGATAGAAGCAGCCTAAACAATTAATACAAGTCAAGTGTTGGAATGTGATGTGCACTTACGGTTTCAATGACGTTGTGGATGAGCTTCTTCGCCTTGTTGACCTTGTCCTCGGTATCGGCCATGATGAGACAATGCAGATCTTCTTCCTGGTTGCTGGTGTGAGCGGCGTCAGAGCGACCTTTACCCTCCTTGACTGAGCCCTTTCCACGGATCGCAATCTTTGCGCCAGACTCGGATTCCATCTTCTTGAGGGTGTTTCCACGGGGGCCAATAAGCAGACCAACTGTTAGTGCAAAAAGCTGTGGTTAGTCTCTGATCAAAAATGTACGAGGATACGGACGATGAGGGTTAGTGACATAGCTGTACTGCAGATATTGCGCGATGTACATGGACATCAGGCAGTCTGAGCAGGCTGGTCAAGACAAAGGCTAGGAGAAAAGCAAACGCGAGCAAGGGAGTTAGAGGGGTTAGTTTCGTACTGAAGTTGATCTCCGGGTAGTCATTGACCGGGACGTAGACCTTTTCCTGTGTCTTAGTAGGCCTCCTATAATCGGCAGGCGGATGGTAGTTAGGGAGCGTCTTCATCGCCTTCTCTACAAGCTTGTGGCGCTCATCTTCGAGGCGCTTGCGGTAACGGAACTCGCGAGTGTTGACACGGCGACCGAAGTTGTCATACTGTGGGGGAGGCGATGGAGACCTGTCCAAATGGTTAATATTTTTTTTGGCTCGCAGTGGCGCCAATGCATAAGCACGTACCTGTCATCATCGGCTGGCACGACATCGTTGATCTTCAACTTCTGCGTGATTTCCTCAATACGCAAATGCAGAGTGTATGCGTCAAGCTGCTCTGTAGTCATGGCGGCGTAGATGGCCGTGGGTAGGCCCATCAGACCAGCAGCCTTGTTCTCACTGGCGTCACCCCAACGGTTGCGCTTCTTTCGCTGCCTCGGACCATCGCTCTCTGTACGTCTTCTGTTAGAATGCGCTAGGAGTAGTATTGCAAGACTCGACTTACCACGCGTCGGGCTGCGACCGCGCTTGAGCTCAGACAAGCCCTCGGCAGGCGCAGAGGGATTGTAGCCTCCAGCGTCGCTACCTCCGTCATCACCACCAAACCGGCGACGGTTACCGAGAGGGATGTTGTTCGAACCCGTGATGCCCTGGTTGCGCCACGACATGGTTGTTGTTGTTGAAGGTGAGTATGTAAGTGATGGGGTTGAGTTGAGGCGCGCGCAGGGTGGAAGTTTTGAGGATCCGCGCCAAGGAAAGTGACACTAGTGGTGCATTGGCTTAATCACGTGACTGTATCTTCACCAGATCGCAGGTGACCTCCGGTAAGTCTTGTTGACGCTAAGTAATGGCCGCTGGTAAGCAAAATTACCGGGAGCGATCCAAAGGCATCACAGTCAGGATCCTCGAGGGTGCACTTTTCCCAATAGTTGGCACGAATGGTATATAAGCTATCGAGTTTAAATCCTTGGCCTACCACACGGTATACTTATAACTTGCAGTGTATCACGACTCACAGTTCTCTCGGGTCTCGTTGGAGTTGCAGTATTTGATCGATAGCATGTCAATAGCTCTGGGTAATTCACTTGCAATTCTGTACAAACTGTACCAAGTGATACCGATGCATGTATTCCCTTTTACATCGTGATGTATAATACGATACTGTAATAAACATGGCATTCACTGATAGTAAGTAAACATCAAGGTATTTGCAGAAAGCAAAAAACCCTCCAATGTAAGGTCATGAACACAATCTAACAAGTCGACCTTCTGAGGCGGAATCGGAGCTTCAAACAATCCCGCATTCGTAATCACTCATGGTCCGTTGTAAGAAGACCCACTAGCTACTTAGCACATAAGAACCTGTACCGTAGATACCGAGGCTTCTTTCCACGCTGCTACAAATACCACTGTGCAAAATACAGCTCAATACCCTACAACACGAAACGAAAATGTCTACAAAGTCGGACATCACGCTCTACACAACGCAGACGCCTAATGGCATCAAAGTCTCCATCCTGCTGGAAGAGCTGGGGTAAGTGTCCGCGTCATGACCCAAAATTCGCTCAGAAGCCTGCCATGGTCATGAGCACGGCCGTCCAACATCTCGATGGCTAGCATGACTGACAAACAAAATTCCAGTCTTCCATACAAAGTAGAAAAAATCGAAATCACAAAAAACACCCAAAAGGAACCATGGGTGCGTGTTGCATGGAATTTCATGTTCGCCCCTCACCAACGAGACTAACGCTCAATGTCCAGTTTCTCGCCATCAATCCGAATGGTCGCATCCCAGCTCTGACCGATACTTTTGAAGACGGGCAGACGATTAGACTCTTCGAGTCTGGTAGCATCATGCAGTACCTCGTCGATCGCTATGATCCAGAGTACAAGATGAGCTTCCCCCGGGGTACGAGGGAGTACTATGAGATGAACAATTGGCTATTCTTCCAGAATGCTGGTGTGGGGCCCATGCAAGGCCAGGCTAGTAAGTAGACATTACTTTATGTTTTGACTTGGTCAAAGCCATGGTGCTTTTATAATGTCTGGTGGTCTGACATGAACTAAAGACCACTTCACCCGCTACGCGCCCGAGCACATTGAGTACGGCGTCAACAGATACCAGACCGAAACCCGCCGTCTGTACAATGTGCTTGACAAGCATCTTGCATCCGATAATCGTCCCTATCTAGTTGGCGAGAAATGCACAATCGCAGGTACGTCTCACCTTCCCATTTCACCTCTCCTTTTATACAACTTCCCCACCCTAACATTTCACTCCAGACGTCTCTCACTGGGGTTGGATCGCTGCCGCCGGCTGGGCAGGCATCAACCTCAACGACTACCCTGCGCTCGCAGCATGGGAAGAACGCATGGCAGCGCGACCCGGCGTTGAAAAGGGCCGCCATGTTCCGGATCCTCATACCATCAAGGAGTTACTCAAGGACCAGGCCAAAGCAGAGGCGGAGGCTGCGAAGGCGCGTGAGTGGGTGCAGTCGGGAATGAAGGACGATGCGGCGAAGCATGGGGGTGGGAAGTAGGTGGAGAACGAATGGGTTCGATGTGATGTGTGCTAAGAATATGGTAGGGTAAATGGGAAGATTTGAAGGCTGGGTGGGGTAGACGGTGGGGAGGGAATGAAATCGGGAGGAATGTGCTTGATACTCAGCGAAACGATCGTAAAGCTACAAGTCATTCAGCCGCGATCGACAGCGTACGCTATTTAGTGGCCGTTCTTCCCCTGTGGAAAGTAAAGTGTCAGACCCTGAATATAAGTGATTCGCATACTACCTTATTGCCCAGTACACAGCGCAGTATCGCCTAGAAATCGGCCATACACATGTGAAATACCTCATCTATACCTCACGAGCCATCGTCCCAATGACTGAAACCGCCGTCTTACGCAGTCACCGAGGATGGCCAAATAACGCACAGATATTTGCTTTCTGCAGACCAGACTTCCTCTGGTGGGTTGGCAAACACGCAGTCAGCAGGCCATATCATACCTAGTAAGCTAGGGCCGGGCCTCTTGAATCTGCATGAGAGTAGCAAGGGCCTGCTCGAGCTTGGAATTGCCCACATTGTTCAAACCATGTCGAGGCCATCTTCATAGCCCAGGGTGTTATGTCTTCGCTTCCCCTGAGCTTCCCCGCAAGATTCATCGACGTTTCTGCAGCCTGTCTGCAGGATCTCAGGCAGCTCGTATGCAGAGTCGAAGCGAGACACATACACACACACACACACCATTAACGCACTCCAAATGTGCGTCAGGTAGCCGTCAAGCTCTGTGGATATTACACAATGCTCGCCCCAGCTGTGAGGCTGCTGCCAGCAGGCCACAGCAATTCGCCCCTGTCCAAGCGCAGCGGCAAGCCGGGATACTGGAACGCATAACCATTCGACCCCGATGGCGGGATATGGGTTGGGTGGGTATACTGTACTTATTGTATAGTATACCAGCCAGGGCGTCACGAGATGGCGCAGAATAAGTGGTGCCCGGTGATATAGTGGAGAGTGGCGGAGGCGCCATCCGCTCAGCCGAAGAATGCCTGCGTGGATTTTCTACCATACCATACAGAGTATGTAGTTGCTTTACCGTTGTTTCGGGGGGTTACGCATGCTCTGTTGTTACCCGGTATCCTATGCGAGCGCTGGGAAACCTGGGGAAGTGCATGTACTGTATATCGTGGACACCGCATGTGGGGTCAATGACCTCTGGTACCTACATAGGCTGTGGACGTGCAGGTTGTATGGTCTTGGGCAATCCCGTATACGATGATGCTGCAGTACTGTCGCTCGTGGACTCGTACCTTTGACGGTCCCTTGATGTGGCACCGAGCAGAGCTCTCCAAGTAGAGTAAGACATGGTACGGTAGGCACCGCGAATTTTGCTTACAGGCATCATGCCAATCTCCGAGCATCAATGCATGTATACACGCTGTTTTCCAGAGGCTAACCATGTGTGCAGACCAGGACAATCGAGGGGACCCGGAAAGGGTAGAGAGAATCATGAAGCGGTGACTTTGTGCGGGAAGGCTCCACCACAATCCGGCTTGTACCTATCCTTTTACAATACACAGTGCCGTTGTTCCCCAAAGACGCTAAAGCCGTTCTAGTGTTTGTGGGGGGGGGGGAAGGCAGATCAGCACTCGGCAGATCGAAAGCTCCCAGCCGCGCCCTCAGCACCGGTCCAGCATTACTCGTGGTGGCAGTTATTTGATATTGTTGTATATAGACTGTATGGACATGGCGTACAATATAGGTATAGAAGACGTGAGGTTTTTCCCTACCTGTCGTTCCACCAAGCTTCGTCCAAGTGCCCACGATACGAAACTCTATCTCTAACCCCATGTTAGCAAAACCTCCGCGATGCGGGCGGGTCCTCGAGTCGCGCGGCTGGAGGAGGAAGATGTGGAGATTTTTGGCTGATAGAGTAGTTATGTGCGATGGTGGCAGGCTGCAGCCGTGCCTCTTCCTCGTGTCGAGGGCGGGAACATGCTGTAGTTGCATGGCAGATAGTTATACAAGTGCTTTTACCCTGTACAAAACACGTCTAGAATATGCTCCGGCCCGTTGCATGTGAATGGTAAGTTGGAGCGGAAAGTGGAGGCCTTTGGCACCAGAGAGATTGTTCTGTGAGCCGTCTTGCACGTCTATGCTTTCGTTTCATCAAGCGGCCACGACCGAAGTGATGTCTAGCCCGTGCCTACGGTATGGATGCGGCATACCCAAGTTGCATTGAGTCCTTCTAGAACTGTACAGGGAACATGCGCAGTTGTCTGCGGTGCAAACAATGAAGGGTTGCACTACATACTTGCATAGTATACCCATGCCTGGTGCATATCATCGGACGTCTTACCTAGGTGGCAGTCGTCGAGCTTGACAGGCACGCCGCACAACGTACCGGTACATGTTGTAGGCATGTTGGCTTTGCGCGATTCTCTCCCGTCAGACGCGATTGTTATTTCGGGCATGAGGTCGGGCATGAGGTCGTCTGGCACACTGCAGGAGGTTCCGTCGGCGATGACATGTGTCAGAAGGTCGTCTGTTTCCCGTCAGAAGACACGGCAAGGGCTAGAGAAATCGCTTAGGTGTTCCCAGCTGTTGGCCGTCCGTCGGATGGTTGCACACGGGGAAATGCATGGGTACCTGCGTGTTCTCGAACCAGCACAGCACCCCCACTTGCGGCGGTGACGGTGGAAGTCATTGGCTCTGCGACGATGTACTGTGCCTTGGGACAGGATGGCGTGGTGGCCGGTGGCCGTTCGTTTCATGCCTGTCTGCACCACTTGTGTGCATTCCTAGTACTACATGGTATGTATGACTGTTATGTACGTACGTACATGCACAGTACAGTATACGCTGACACACTTGGACTTGAGAGACTTGAGAGACTTGAGAGAGTTGACATTACGCAGTGAATTGCCACTGAGGAACAGACGTTCCTGTTTCAACAAGTTGCTCTAGAGCCATGCGTGCTTGTACATGGGTACCGTAGTTATTGACTGTGCCATCTGTGATCTGACAGCAGCCAGCCATTGGAGATGGCTAGCGAGGTCGTGAGTGTGAGTGAGAAGGGAGAAGAGCATGAGAGAAGAGGGGTTCAAGTGCGGCCAAGGCGTAGTGAAGACGATGCCTGCCAGAAGGGTTGCCTCCAAGGTTATGGCGGGCCACCATGACCAAGGCCAAGCATGGAGCGAGCATCGTTCATCAAGCTTTCCTGGGTTTTTGCGGGGCTGGCAATGCCCACCGGCTAAAGAAGTGGTTAAATTGACCACAAAGGGCAAAGCATCACCCTTGCCACGAGCCGGACATTGCGACTTTGCGACTTGGGTGCCGACTCTGACGGTCTGACTGCCGCCCCCCTCCCCTCCCCAGCCATCAGCGAGCCAATCCGTCCATATGGCATACCCTGCAACTAAGTCAACACAACCCTGGCAGCCCTGGGAATTATCATGGCCGCCGTCTCTCTGATATTGTATTGCCCTGAGCCCCTCTAGCTGATCTCGCTTCTCGAAGCCCCTCCCCTCCCCTCCCCTCCCCCACCCATGGAACTCGCAAAGCCTCCCGATCGTACATAGGACGTTGACCCTGGATGCGACCGGGGATTCCGAAAGAGTCCTGGTGTTCCTCGGCACCAAAAGCTCTGTTCGGAGGCCCACATATGCTCTCCATGTCTACCTACCTAACGCATGACCCGTACACCATCCCCAGATTTCCCCGTTGACCGACTCTTGCAACACCCCAAGAAATACCTTGTTCTCGCCTGTCGCCTTTCGCCGGATTCACTGGAGCCTTTCGTCCCACCTTCGACTACTCCAGACTGGCCAAGCAAAGCTTGACTCTCCCCGACCCAGCATCTCACCATGGAGTCTTCTGCTGTTGCTGCAGTGGACGTGCCAAAACTCGAACGGAGGAACTCGGCGCCTGTAAAACGAAGAGTCAGTCGGGCTTGCGATCACTGTCATCGGATGAGGACCAGGTGTAACGGACAATCGCCTTGCTCTAGATGTATAGGTTGGTGGCCATTGTTCAACTTACTTGCCGCCGTGTACGTCAAATTGACGAGTGCTAGAACTCGAATATGTCTGTCAGTACAACAGGGAAAAGAAGCGGCGTGGAAAAGTAAGCACGAATCCTGTTCGCGAGTGTCTCTTGCCTCTTGTTCGCTCATGCGCCACTGGTGCCTCCTTGCACCCGCCCTCGACACCATTCGCTAGCAGTTTGCTCTTCTCCTTCTTCTTCCTGGACTTCTCAATCTATGCCGCACAGTACATGGAATCCCAGGACGTGAAATGCTCAAGAGAGACCCTGTGTCATCGCAAGTACAACAAGCTGACATTTGTAGGTGCCTAGACACATTCAAAAGCAGAGAGAAGAGGCGGCCGCTGCAGGTCATAGCCCACAAACACCCAATGCACTGTCCAATGGTTACTTTGAGCGGCCGGCTGTCATGTCTGAGATGGACGAGGAGGTGTGGTCACAGTCGGAAACAACACCAGTAGTCCAACACTTTCCGAAACCCAGCCTACACAGCAACACTTCTGGAGACTGGACAGCCCTGCAGCCCAGTGCCCCTTTCGATCCACCGGTCAGTCACATGATGATCGACCCCTTACTCCTAGGCTCTGGGGCAGCCTATCCTTCCATGCATGACGACATGCCTCGCAATGAGGCGCTCATGTACGCCATGAATGGCATGCATCTCATTCCTGGGCCCAATGGTGCGCCCGTGTCCATATCACCCGAATATGCAAACCTAGGATATTCGATGCAGTACCAGGCTGCACGACAGTCATCGCCACATAGCTACGGATCCGCCGACACTGGATCGCCCCATTCAGGAGTCAGCGTCAGCTCGTCACAGAATGGCGCGAGTCTGCCGACGTGCAGGTATCCGGCACTGAGGCCTTTACTTCCACACTTGGGTTCCATCATGAGCGTCTCGGCAGCCTGTGATCTTCTCGAATTCTACTTTCAGAGCTCGTCGTCGGTCTTCATGGAGCCTGTATCGCCATACATTTTGGGCTCCGTGTTCAGGAAGCGGTCGTTTCTTCGCCAACAGAAGCCCAGACGGTGTAGCCCTGCTCTGCTAGCGAGCATACTTTGGGTGGCAGTACAAACGAGCGAAGCCAGCTACCTTACTTCTTCACCCTCCGCGCGCACAATCGTCAGCGAAAAGTTGTGGCGATTGACAGTTGATTTGCTGAAGCCATTGGTCCATTCGCCATCGTCACACGCATTTGCCGCAGGTCCGGGCTTTGCATCTGCTGCGCACGATGCTTTCGGTGTTGATCGAGCAATGGGTCGATACGATGGTCGGCCCGATGGCGCCATGCCACCCACCAGTACCCTAGATGATGTCGCTACGTACATCAACCTAGGCGTAGTCACATCGGCCAGCGAGTACAAGGCGGCATCTCTGCGATGGTGGAATGCGGCTTGGTCATTAGCAAGAGAGCTCAAGTTGGGTCGAGAGCTTCCCAAGATGCCTTTAAAAGACGCAGATGGTCCCTCAGCAACGGCAGAAAATGGAGACCTGGATGTCAGTTTGTCCGATTGCTCCCGGTCCGGTATTCATGCGCCAATGGGAACTCAGGCGGCAGCACTTTTGGAGGAGATGAAAGAGGAACGCCGTCGACTTTGGTGGCTCCTGTACATGGTTGATCGACACCTGGGATTGTGCTACAACCGACCCTTGGCAATGCTTGACAGCGAGTGTGAAGACTTGTTCCAGCCGGTGCCCGACACTCTCTGGCAGGCCGGCGAGTTTTACGCTGGCCACACGGGACCACGACGCAGAGGCCTCAATTTCCAGTGTACCTCGCACGATGTTTTCGGCTTCTTCCTGCCGCTCATGACGATCCTCGGCGATATTGTGGATTTGAATGCACAGAAGAATCACCCTAGATTCGGCCAGCGAACCTCCTGGGAGCTCCACGAAGCAGAAATCACCCATCAGCTGGAGAGGTACGCATACAGCATCGAAGAGTTCAAGGCGCAGCATGGTTGTGGGGCGAACGAGGAAGCGGTTGTGAATCAAAGAAATGGAACGCCTGATCCGGTGCGAAGCGAATGGATCCATCAAACAAGAAAGGTAGCCGCATATGCCACCCACATTATGCACGTACTACATATCCTTTTGCATGGAAAATGGGATCCAGTCGCTCTTCTGGAGGATGATAATATGTGGATCTGCTCACAGTCGTTTCTTGCGGCAACGTCGAATGCGATTTCTGCGGCACATGCCGTCGAAGAGATTCTAGATGTAGATCCCGACCTCTCCTTTATGCCCTATCTATTTGGCATGGTAAGTCGGCCTCTGGGCGCACAATCTCAAGCCGATGACTGACTGTAATCTAGTACCTTTTGCAGGGCAGCCTCATCTTGCTCCTGCTAGCCGACAAGCTGTCTACAGAGACAAACGACGGGGTCATCAGAGCCTGCGAGACGATTGTGCGAGCCCACGAAGCTGCGGTAGTCACCCTCAACACCGAATACCAGGTAATTTTGCCGGTTTCCCAGTCGCTCGGTGTTCTCGCTAATGCATGCAACATCAGCGAAACTTCCGCAAGGTGATGATCTCGACCCTGGCCCAAATCAAAGGCCATGGTCACGCGCGTGAAATGACCCCGGCAAAACGCCGCGAGGTGCTTTCTCTGTACCGCTGGACGAGTTTGGGGAATGGGCTGGCTATTTGAAATGGCTGGCGGTGCTGTTGGGAGTATTCGTTTTCTTGTGCATGGTGTTTCGGACAACGTTTGCGAAAGGGACGGCTCGGGGCAGATACCCAGACTTGACTTGGAAGCGCGGTTTTTGTAAGAAAATAGTAGATAGTGGGACAGAAGTACCACTCTGGCCGGGTTGGAAAAACAGGGTGTCAGAATGGCATGGCCCATGTCTAGGTAGTGTGGCCAGTGACATGCATTGGAAAGATAGCAACGACATGGGCTTACTATAGTAATCACACAGTGCCTATCTAGAGTGAAGGACATGTGAAGTAGTGGAAGAGGGACATGAATCAAGTTGCACCCATCTACCATGGTACTATTCCGGTCAATGCAGGGTCCAGAAGAACAGGGATGTACAACAATGACTAACAAGACATCACCAAGACTCCACTAGACGCATCACATCAGATGGGCCATGCACTGGAGGATGAAATAATCTACTATTGAACAGCTATGTAGGACAGGCTCTGTGAATGCGGAAATGAGGAAATCTCTTGCCCAATGCTCACGGTAACAGGGTTGAGACTAGAAAGATTACAATGAAAGCGTAGGAAACGTGACTCGTGGACTTCAAGCCGATGAGACCCTTTACAGGCTTTTCTCAATCTCCATGACCTCCCTGATGCCCTCGGCAACGGCGTCGACGGTTGCCTGTGGCAGCCTCTTGAGTGGCCGGCGAGGGTAGCCTCCGTAGCCGTAGTAGGATTGAATGGCGGATTTTGTGCCTGGAATAGCCGTTTTGGTGAGGACCCAGTCGCCCTTGCTGAGCACCTTTTGCAGCTCAAAAGCTTCCTCGAACTTGCCCTCTGCCATCAAGTTCCAGACCTTGACGCATGTCTTGGGCAGCACATTGGCACCTCCGGCGATGATGCCAGAACCACCGCTGGCAGCAGTCTGTGCGGTGAAGTCTGCCATTCCGCCAAACGCCATGTACCCGCTACCGGTGCTCTTGGTGGAGAGTGCGTTTGTGGCAAGAGCCACGCGCGTCAATTTGCCAGTGTTGCCGCAGGTGAATTTGGTGCCAACAATGTTGGGGTGCTTGGCGAGCTTGATGAGAAGATCACTGTCCATATCTATTCCCGAGACGGCACCAGGGTAGTTGTAGAGCATGACAGGCAGTGGAGAGCTGTCAGCCACCTTTGTGAAGTATTCGTAGATGGCCTCTTCGTCAATGGCATAGCGGTAGTAGCTTGGAGGAACGATGAGGACGTATTCGCCGCCAGCAGCCTCGGCTTCCTTGCACAGCTCAATCGTGAGCTTGATGCCGTGTTCTGAAGCTCCTACAATGACGGGTACATTTTGGTATCCAGCCTCGTCAAGAGCCTCGCGGGTTGCTTTTGTGACGGCAATCTTCTCAGCTCGCGACAGGTGGACAGCCTCTCCGTTGGAGCCCATGGTGACAAGACCAACAAGCCCAGCTTCAGCCAGCCGTACAGCATGCTTCTTGATTGCGGCCATGTCCAGCTCCTCGGTTTCTGGGTCAAAGAAGGTCATGGTGGGCGAGTAGATACCCGCTCGGAGAGGTGTACGCTCCTTTGAGCCGCCATTTGAGCCGTTGGAGTGGCCGTTGGAGGTCATGTTTTGGAGTTTTGGGTGTTATTTGTCTTGATTTGTAGAAGCAGAGAGGGTAAAGGGAGGATATAGTCAAGTTGGTAGAGAGAAGCGAAGCTGAGAAGGGGGGAGGGGCTGCAAGAGAGCAGGGGAAGGGGGGAGAGCGCAGACGATATTAGGAAGAGAGTTCACGGCTTCGGTCAGCTTTTAATATAACAGCGAGATGGAGGCAGTCGGCATAAAGCAGAGCAGAGGCTAGCTCGGCAGAGCCCAAGGCGGATTGCATCCCACCGTGCCATTGTGTGACTGTCTCAAACGGGCTCTAACGTTGTGGACGTCTCGTCAAAGTGCAGGTTCTCATTCGCTTACGCCCAAGTATTAGTAGGCTAGAGTGTACGAGGGGGCGCAGGGGCTGTGGGCCAATTTTGGTGGGTTTTCGGACCACCAGTGCGCGAACTGCGGGACCAAATGGGCGGGGGGGGGGATGCTTTCCTTTGGGGGTGACTAAAAACTCTTCCATCGGTCTGCTGGTTGGAACAGAGAGAAAAGAGATGGCGTTTTAGCGCATGGGGGTTTGGGAGGGGACATGTCGAGCAGAGTGGCGCTCCCATCATGCCTTGTTGGAGACCGGAGACCGGAAGGGCGGAAGTGAAATGTTCCACCAACCAGCCGCGTTGGAGACTCGCAGTGGCAGGGTGTGGGGGTGCATCAGGCTGGCCGTCTGGGATGGTATGGTAGGAGGAAAGTATCCTCAATCCCAGAATGCGATCAGAACGAGGATCATGCATCTTCCCAAGACGCTCGCCTCAGGGAGACTTGGACTCTGGCAGAGTAGAGAACATGCTAGTGGTACTGTATCGTCACGCAGTCCTGTCATCTTGGCGTCATATAGAATAGACGACGGCAATGGACGGCAACAAGCCAATTTGTCCGTAGTTTACTCGTTGTTGTGGCTTGATATTGGTAGGTAAACAACGCACTGGGCCCCAAGGTCATGGTAATCTTTCCATTCTTTGCTACCTAGGCTTAGCCCACCATATGTGTAGTCACGTGTGCTTGTTATTTATGATTTCTAATATAAATAACAGAAATGAACAACGACGACCTCCTTGCATGACATGGACAATGTACAGTAACTAGGAACCTCACCCAAGCCTTTCACTGCTTGTTCTTGTGCTGAGCTGCAGCACCAGCCACAAATCTCCGAAGAAACCTACTAGATCGTTATTCAGCTAGGTACTGCCTGGAGAAATTATGTCCCACCAAGTTCCCTGCAAACAATGCGCCAACATGGCCAACATGGCCAACATGGCCAACATGGCTTCGACCTCTCCACTGTACTCCTACCGTGTGTCGAGAAGAGCTCGAAAATGGCCAACCCTCACCCGGCCGCGGTACCCGGTAGAACCAGTGAGCGCCTTTTTTTCCAATGTGGCATGCCCCTCACTGCGCCTGTGGTCGTGCATTCTTCCGTCGTCATAACCTACCGTGCCTACCGGTAATCGATAAGCATTCATATGCCGATGAGGCCATATCTCGGCCATGGATGGTAAAGTACTCCCCCATGCCCAGTTCCTCTTCCAGTTCCATTGACTCTTTACTCACTACCCCCTACTCTTCACCCTCGGAGTTCAGAAACCACTCCACTGACGAGCAACCACATCCATTGCCTCTTTGCCTGTTGAAAAACAATTCACCTACCCACAACCATGGCTCCGCTCGAGGTCTTGATGGTATGTGGCCCCTCACCCAACCACACACACAGCTGCACCCACCCCTCTCCAAGAAGGCCTCGCCTCCCACAATTTACTATTACCTATGCCATGCAAAGTCATGCATGCAGACTACCAAATTCCTTTTTCATCTGGCCCTTTCGGAGTCATGTAACCGCGAAACTAATCGATTCCATAGGTCGGTACGGGCGAGTACACGACAGGATTTGTTGGCGGCGGCGCGTCCAAGTCGGACAAGAAAGTCGGCGTCGTAGGCCTGACTCTATTCGATCTTCGCAGACGGGGAAAGGTTGGCAAGCTGTCCATGGTCGGTGTCTCGGGCGGCAAATTCCCGGCCATACGTAAGTTGGGTCGCGTGCTGGCTTGCTGTTGTCTGCAGGCCGCTGATTCGATCCAGGCGAGCATCTCCAGAAGAACATATCCGAGGCCTACAACGGGCTTGATGTTTCGTTTGAAGAATTCCCCAAGGATGGCAAGACCGACCCTGAATCATACAAGACCGCAATTGATGCACTTCCCAAAGGCAGTGCCAGTAAGTCAAAAGTCCTTGCGTGCTGCCAACTGGGCCGTTTTCGATTTCGCTCACACAAGTACTCTAGTCACCATCTTCACCCCTGACACGACTCACTACCCAATCGCTTTGTATGCAATTGAACGCGGCATTCACGTTCTCATCACGAAGCCTGCCGTCAAGCTTCTCGAGCACCACCAACAGCTTCTCGCTGCGGCAAAGAAGCACAATGTCTTTGTATACGTTGAGCACCACAAGCGATACGACCCCGCTTATGCGGACGCGCGTTTCAGGGCCCAAAAGCTGGGTGACTTCAACTACTTCTACTCGTACATGAGTCAGCCAAAGTAAAGAAAAAAAGACCCCATCTTTGCAAGCCATGATTGAACAGTGGCTAACGTTGAATTCAGGAGCCAACTGGAGACTTTCAAGGCATGGGCGGGCAAAGACAGCGACATATCATACTACCTCAACTCGCACCACATTGACATCAACGAATCCATGGTACCAGGGTACAAGCCAGTCCGTGTCATGGGTAGCGCAGCAAAGGGCATTGCAACCGATCTAGGCTGCGACCCTGCGACCGAAGACACCATCACCCTCCTCACAGACTGGGTCAAGCGGGACGACCCAAGTAGGCGCGCGACTGGTGTGTACACAGCGGGATGGGCAGCACCACAAAAGGCCGGTGTACACTCGAATCAGTACTTCCACTACATGGCGGCGACGGGCGAGATTCGCGTCAACCAGGCCAAGCGCGGCTACGACGTGACTGACGACGAAAACGGTCTTCTCTGGTACAATCCGTATGTACACCATTCTATGGGCTTCCATGCCGACTATCGCTATAGACTCATTCAAGAGATACTAACCCCTCGAACAGATTCTACATGAAGTACGCCCCTGACGAGGAGGGCAACTTTGCTGGCCAAATCGGCTACGGCTACATTTCGTTTGAAAAGTTCATCGATGCGGTCAACGCATTGAATGAAGGCAAGGTGACACTCGAACAGCTCGACGCCCGTCCACTGCCTACACTCAAGAACACCATTGCCACCACCGCCATCCTCGAAGCCGGCCGCCGATCACTGGATGAGAAGCGACCGATTGAGATCATCGAGGAGAATGGCGTGTGGTCTCTGCAGTAGTAGACTCGATTCTGTCAATCAAGAATCGAAAATTGCAGCAACACCCATCATCGTCCTTTTTTCCGTCAACGTCCTTGGTCGTGTTGCTTTACGTAGTCGTAGGTAGTGCTAACAAACGTACTTTGAAGCCACATGCGGACCCCGTCGCGCGTCCAGGGGCGCCACGCGACCACGTGCTCAGATCCATTGCTTGAGTGTGCCCCGCCCCCACGCGATCGACTCAGGCCCTCACATTTGCACACATCAAGAACATCGGGTGTCGGCCCCGAAGACGATCTCCGCAAGGCGGGCTCGCAGCACCCACTCCAGTAGTACTACCCAACTATGCATGTAGGTACAATACCTACCCACCTCATCCAACATTTTCCTCCTCTTGGCCGCGGACTCGGACACGGGGCAAGCTTGTCGGGTACCCGTAGTCGGGGTTGTCGGCATGGCTGGGTGTTGTCGCTCGGGTGAATGTGCAGCGAGACTTTAGTCTTGACACCGACTTTTTGTTTGGAAGAGGATGGGAGGACATTTGGCCGTGTGTCTTATTTGTATCCTAGGTAGTATCGTTGACGAAATGCTGGATTGACACGGAGTAACAAGTCGGTCTTTGAAGACCATCATGGCTTGGTGTATTTCAACACGCAGACGACGCAGATGCAGTGCATTCAGATTATTGGCCTGTCCTTTGTTCAAGGCTGTGTGCATCACTATCCCACCGCAAGCTTACTAAGACTCTATACCTCAGCCCCGAATCAGATTCAGCCTTTTCTGTTACTAAACATCACCGCCGTCTCATCACGTCCAAGCACGTAGGGAAAAAGTTCGCCTTGGGCTCGATACCATCGTCACTGTTGAGATTGGGCACCGCTTGAACCACCACATCGACAAAGCCATCACTCAACTCTCCAGACTGCCAAGATATACATTTTCGCTCCGAATTTCAATATATATTCTTTAATCATGATATCGAATATACTTGCCTGATGTATCTACTCCGCGAGCCATCGTCTCCCGACCAAGCAACCCTTGAACAAGAAAACAACGCCTCCAAACCCATCTCAAAGATGTACAAAGAAATCTCAAAGCTAGTCCTTGCCAATTCAATTCTCTTGCTTTAATGCTACAATGGAATATAAGCCATTCCCATCTCACTACTACTCTTCTACCTCAACACCCAAGTTCAAGTACCCATTCTGCAACACATTCTCCACAATCTCCACATCCCAATCATATGAAGGCTTGACAGTCCAGTCGGGGGGTTAAAAGTTTTCCAGGGGACACGAGTACAAGTATAAATATAGGTATAGGTCCTATGACAACAATTCATGTTGGAGTTTTCTCTCAGGCTTGCTTTTCCCACACAAAAAAGAGGACGACACCACACTATTTCTCAAGAAGTGGATAAATACGGATTGCTCCTTCTTCTTGCTCCTTCTTCCTCGTATCCAACACCACCACCATCATTAGCAGCAGCAGGAAAGAGAAACGAGAAAGAGAAAGAGAGAGAGAGATAACGGGAGAGGAGAGGAGAGGAGAAGACGAGGAAGAGAGCCCCCATCACCCAGCCTTCCCCACCTCATCCAATTTATGCAATAACCCTTGCACCTCCTTGACCAGCGCCTTTCGCTTCAGTCTAGCCTCCTGATCCCCCTCCGTCTCCACCCCATCCAGCTTGAAGATGATCTGTGTCAAAATGGCCTCGCTCAGCTTCTTATACTCAAACTCGCGCTTGCTCTTCTCCTTGGGCGGGTTGCTCATGTACTGGACGGCCAAGGGCACGAATTCCGTGTGGAACTTGCTTGCGATTTGGTCGAGTTTGCCAATGGGCGTCATGGGCGTGGCGGCGCGGGGAGGGGTAGAGGCGGCGCTGGTGCCGGGCTTGGGCGCGGCGTGAACGTGCGAGGGAATGGGGAGGTATTCTGCGTGCGCGCCGGCCGTCGTGTAGCCCGGTGTCGAGGTGCCAGAGGCGTCCGGGGAAGCGCGGCCTTTGCGCTTGCTCTTCCTGCCTCCGCGTTTGCGCGACTTCTTCTTGCCAGAGGTGTTGGCGCCCGAGTCCATGTCGTCGTCGTCATCCTCATCCTCGTCTTCGCCGTCTGTCCAGCCTCGCGGTGCGGCTTCTTCTGCGCCAGGCGCATATCCACCAACAGAGGCTTCACCCACTGTGACGAGGATCTCGCTGCCTGTTCCGTCTCCGCGTAGCCCTTCTTCGCGGGCAGTCCGCTCGTCATGCTTGAGATTGCGGCCCTTGAAGAACATGCGTATCCGGCCGGGGTGGTCAACGCCCAGCTTCTTCGCGGCTGCCTGGCGCACAGTGCCAATTTTGAGATCACCATCGCGTATGCTGTGCGCTGGGAAGTGTGTAGGGTAGTGTGTGCGCCTCTCCTTGAAGACGAGCACGTCCGTCTCGCGGTCGGGGTTCTTGTCGTCCCAGTCGACTATCTCTGGGCCCGACGCCGCCCCGTTCCGTTGTAGGTCCTCGTTTGTGATGTAGGAAAAGTCGGCATCGCTGACTACGCCCGAGTTTGGCGAATTGCTAGGCCGGCCAAAGGGAGAGAAGCGGCCTCCCCAGCTGCCGCCTGAGCGAGAGAACCACGACATGGCGGCGACGAGGGATGCAAGGATGAGGCCGAGAGTGGTCAGATAGGCCGGATCGTCGAGGCGGGGGTTGGTGAGGAAGTCGATAATGTCCAAGGCGCGGCGATTGTCGAACAAGTCGAACGAGTTGTTCGCTTCGTCGAGGATATTGTTCGGCGACGCCACGGTGAAAGTGTGGTGGGGACTTTGCCCGCAGAAGAGAGCAGAAAACCAGTCGCACGGCACTGGGGAAAGACTAGGAAAGACAGAGATTACTAACGGTCGAGAGTGACGTAGGTTCGTAGGGAAGCCGTTGTTCGCGAATGAGGGCGCGCCGTTGGGAGGGGGATTGGGCTTGGGCGGGTCAGCTGTGTGAATTGCAGCTTGCTTCGGCCAGATCTCGAGCCGGCCTGACGTAAAGTGACAGAGAGAGAGAGAGAGAGAGAGGGTTGGGTTGGGATGGGTTGGGTTGGGAAATCCCCCTCCGCCTCGGATCCGACCAACAACGCAGGGTCCTTCCTCCTCGCCAGCCCCAGCCCCAGGGTTGTACCACCAACACCACGTCTGTTGAGATGGGTGACCAAGTGAATGTAACTGATAAATTCATGTATACCCAATAACGTTGAGGTCGTTAAAAAAACAATCACCCGTGTCGAGCCTGTACAGCCCCTTCATTTCTTCCAATGTCTACCAAAAACTTCAGGTTGCATTGCAGTGGGAGCTCTCCTCTTCATCAATTCATCATATTATACAAATGCCAAGTATGGCCTCGAAAGACCGCTGTTCATGATATGCAATGTCCATGGGACATGTTATTCGCCAGCCCAGAGAAACCCCCAAATTTTGATCCTACATGCGCCAACTCCGATCCAAAGCAAAGGTTACGACAAGATCGAGTAGGAAGACAAGAAGAGAAAAAAAAAGAAAAGAACAATCGTTACTTGTGCTCAGACCAAGTGCAAGCCTTGTGGTCCTCCTTCGCCTCGTCGAGACTACTACTGAATAGTCAAGCCTTGTTTCGCTTGGGTGTGGCCAGGAAGTTGAGGCGCGACTTGCTGATCGCACTTCCGCCACCACGACCACGACCCGGCGTCTGACGAGGCAGCTTGCTAGCACTGGCAGGAGTCTTTGGCGGAGCAGCTAGAGTAGGCCTCATCTTCTTGGCAGAGCGCATCTCTCCTTCAGCAGGCTCGTCATTTTCCTTGTCTGACGCCTCTTGCACCGTCTCGAGCTTGCGTTTCCTGCCTTCGAGAGACGACGGTCCATCACTCTTACGAACCATACGAATCGTGCCAGTGGAGACAGGACCTACCAAAATTAGCAACACTCTTCTCCGACACCAGCCAAGGAACAACGAAGACTTACCGAACTTGACGGCCTTGCCAGCCTCAAAGGAGAAATCACGAGGGTGGTTAGCAGCCTCGCCACCAAACGTGAGACGTCTTAATGGAGATTCAGTCAGAGTGTGCTCCTCCTGACAAGTCTCGGGGTACTGAGCCTCTGCAGCCTGAAGAGTGGGATAGATGACAGCGCCCATGGGTACCTCACTACCAGCTCTAAACTTCATCGGCGAAGGTGACTTACCAAGCTCCTCCGGAGTCACGCCTCCAAGCGTACTACTGCTGAAGTTGACATGCTTCTTGACTGGTGCTGTAGCTGGAATGGCAGGCATGTGAAGAGTTGGTGGAGGCGACATGTGAGTTCCAGCGGCAATCTTGGTCGGGTCATTGGAGAACTTGCGGCTAGGGGTGCGAAGAATGGAGCGAACGCGCTCTAGATTTCGATTTGCCTGCTACATTTCGTCAGCCAGTTTTCTGCGAGATGAGTAAGAAGCTCGACATACCTGGAGAAACCTATCACGCGCTCCATCCCGCATGGCTTTGCCGATATTGGTAGGAGAAAAGAGATTGTTGGTGGAGGGGCCCTTGACCAGCTTCACAGGAGACGGAGAGGGAATGTTGTTGTGGGTGGAGGGCGAGTTCATCAACGGGGGAACCACAGTGGTAGTCTTCGCAACCTTTGCGCTCTGCGAACGAGCCAGAGAGGCCTTGGTAGGAGTCATCAGCCTCGCCGCAAGCCGAGGTAGTGCAGTCTGAGAAGTGATTTTACGCGCCGGAGTTGCAACAGTGGGCTTGGAGGCTGGAGGGGCGCCTTCACTAGAGACAGGACGGGTGGTAGACGCATCATCAACCTCGGTCCGCTTAACACGCTTCGCTGCTGTATTGTCACCTCCATCGCGTGAATCCGGGCGTCCATCACGTGGAGGAGGAACTAGGCGAACAGTAGACTGAGCGCGCGGCAGTCCAGATCCTGTGAGATCCATCTTGGATTGAGTGCGTTTCAGAGGCGTGGCGGGTATCTTGCTGACGGACTCGCCATTGTCCGTCTTTGATTGCGTGCGCTTGAGACCACCTGTACCCGTTGCATTTGACTCTCCAAGATCCGCCTTTGACTGTGTTCGCTTGAGCTTGTTGGGCTCGTTCTTCGCCAGATCGGTCTTGGAAAGTGACTTCTTGAGCGACTGGGAACCCACGGGCTTGAATCGAGTAGGGTCTGCACGGAAAGCCGAGGCATGGTTCGCAATCGAGTCCATCTTCTTGAACTGGGCCATGTGCACGTCACTGAATCGCGCAATCTTGCCCTTGGCCTCTGCCTTTTTACGATGCGGAGACACGTCTGCCTTGGTTGAGAACTCCGTAGTGCCTGTCATACCGAGTCAGTACATCAGAATACGATAGTGGAGCTAGGATGCAGGAGCACAAATCTTGCCCTTTGCCATTGCAGACTGCAAAGTACAAAGAAAGGTCTTGTGTGAGCCTATCTTGCCAGATTGAAGGGTGACCTACCAAAGATGGCGCGACTGCCACCACCCGGAGTACCGGAGATGGCTGCATCTCGCAGGATGTTGCGCGAACTGGGACTCAAGCCAGCCTCATCCTGCGTGGAGTCCTTCTGGGTAGCAAAAGGTGACTTGAAACGGAAGCGGAAGTCTGGCGACGACTCGAGATCGATAGCCTTTTGCGCGGGTGGTGGCGCAGGTGTCTTTGAAGGTGTACCTGGTCCAACAACACCAACCGCAGTTTGTGCGCCGAGCGATTGAAAGCCCAACCATCGCGCCTCATCCAGCACCTTGGCTGTGCTCGCGTGATGATGCGCCGGGTGCATTTCTTGGCCTGGGGGCTTGATGGGGGTGCGGTCCTTGGGTGTGCGACTCGAAGCGGCGGCAGCGAGCTGTTGTGCCTTGGACGGTTTGTTCTTGTGCGGTGTTGCTACGACTTGCGGGAGCTTCGACGCCGCGCGGTTGGCTGTGGGCTTGTGGGCACTCTTGGAACCCGGGTCTGGAAGATCTGGCATTTCTGGAAGGATGGGAAGCTCGGTGTGCGGTGAAGATGCCGTGTGCCAGCTATCGTCTGATCTCATCGAGGTGTCGGCCGAAGGGGTTGGCGCCTAGATCATGGGTTAGCACCAAGGCACCACCTGTAGGTAAACAAAACAACATGATGGTTTTTGGTGAGACAATGCAAGGTGGCGCGTACCTTTTGCAGGCGGGCAGAGCGGCGCGCCATGTTTGCAAGATGTGCTGACCAACGATCGGACGTTAGCAACAAAGTGACGGGGGTGGCCAAGGGTGCGGAGAGGGAGTTTGGTGGTGGTCTGTGGGTGGGGGGAGGGTTGTTGTGGGAATCGGGATAGGCATCGTCGCGGGATAAGATAAACAAAACGGCAGGCACGCTAGCCGCTAGTGCCCAAAGCGGAAGCAACGTCATGGGTCCGTGCTTGCATGCTGCATGGGCACGGCAGGACACATAAACTCCAAGCGCAAGGGCGTTGGGATGGGAGAAGCGTTGTTGTTTCCGGATGCATTCTCGCAAGGATGCGGGACGAGATGGACTCAAGTCAGGTGCGTATTGGCAGGGCACGTATCATGTCGTTGTACCGGGCTGCCATGTCTGTTGTGTTGTGTGTTGTGTACCGGTACCGGTATTGTGACCCAGCACACGGATTGGGTGATCTACTTACATGCACACCATCAAATCAAAGCAAATCGCACTATACCTACATGAGCACAAACCCATCATCTCTCCTCTGAGCCTCACCAAACTCACGCCGCCTCAGAACACAGTTACACGCCCTTGTCCACCTCCCTCCCCAAAAGCACACCCGGCGGCTTCGCCAACACGGCCTCGACATCCCTTTCCACTCCTTGACTCACAGCTTCCTTCTTCCTCTCCACCTCTTCATCCTCCGCCTCCTTTGTCTTCTTCGCAGGTTCCCCGCTCTCGCTCTTCCACACGAAGTTCCCCGCACCTCCTCGGCCTGACCGTGCAATTGGCATCTCCTGGCCCTCGGGATGCCAGGGTGTGCTCACCTGCGACTTTGCAGCTGTCGGTGTCGCCGTCGCATCGGCAGGTTGTGTGAATCTGCCTTCTTTGGATAGCTCGGATGGCTGATACCAGTTGCCTGCGCCTCCACGGCCCATGTGAGCGTAATCTTGTGATGCCGTCGATGATGGCATGGTGCCTGAGGAGGGTGCGGCGGAGGAGGGTAGGTTGGCCTCCAGATCCTGTGCACGGTGTTGGTTGCTATCATTCGAGGCTATGCGCCAGCATGGGAAGCTTAGCTCACCTCTGCAGCTTTCTTACTGTTCTCCTTCGCCTGATGGATGTTACCGGCACCTCCGCGGCCGTACATGTTGCGCTGCTATCGGATTTGTCCTGCCTTGGGATGGAAGAAATCGACACAAGGAAAGGGGATTGTATGCGACCGATGACTACGGGCGCAATGAGTTGTTATTGTAATGGATGGGTCGATGGCAAGGAAGCAAGTTGCGGCTCTGGGTGGGTCATGGATGCAGCCCATGATGGCAACGTGGGGAAAGAGGCTCGTCCGTCGATCAATCGATCTAGATGATGTGGGGGAACAAAGCCAACCGAATTTGTCACAAGCTTGGCAACTGATAACGAAGCAAGTTGGCCCAAGTGCTTAGGAATGAACCTGTAGCCGACAAGCCCTTGGCCCGCTCGAGATGGTACATAGACAACCCTCCAATAAGTCTGTTGACAAGATTGGGGTGGTAGACAACCGTCTGTAGAATGTATATGACATCACTCATAACTCAGTTACCGTGACCGAAAACTCGCCTGATGCGCGTTTCCAATGTTTGCCATAGACGGTGTCATCTCGGTGGTCGGTGAATTACACATTGGCGCTTCAGAATCGACTCTTCACAATAGGGGTTCTTGCTTGAAAAGGGGAAAAGCCATGGATGATTCTCGCGCTTCTACAAGCAAAGCATACAAAAAAATTGGCCTTGTAGGGCCCGCACCCTAGTAGAGACTGTTGAACAGACCAAGAGAAAGAAAAAAGACTCCGTGGTGTGGCGACAGCATCCCAGATCCGCCATCGCCATAGACCCGACCCAAGTACCTGTGCCGACTACCATTTACAAGCACCACAACGCCGACCAAACTCCACATGTATCCGTAAAGCCACTCCTGTGGCCATGTTTATTCCCGACCCTCTTGCACAGCACGAAGCACTGGATATAGATTGTGTGCATCATCGTCGCTCATGCGACGTTCGTCTTCGTGCTTGACGTCACCGTCTTCGTCATCAGAGATGTAGTCTCGGGCCTCGAGCCTGCCGCGGATCCATTCCTTGAGCCTCTCAATCACTCGGATGTTCTCAACCCACGATTGCTGGGATGAGTCACCCGTTTCAGTTGCGGTTGATGACACAACACTGGGCGATCTTAGGGCAGGATCGACCTTGGGCGAGTTGATAGCCAGCTGGTTAACATTGTGGTGAAGATTGTCCTCAGAGTCCTTGGGAGACTGTCCAGCATCTGACGTGTCCATTGAGTCGCTTCCACGTCGATCAGGAGCGGCCTTTTGCAGCAGGTTTCCAGAAAATCGTCGTCGACCATCGGCATCAAAGGCGGGTGCAAGACCAGATGATGGAGCAGCGGCGGACATGTCTGACATGGCACTGACCGATGGTAGAGTGGGGTACATGCTACCAATCGATGATCTTGAGGTGGGGGAGACATTGCTGGCCGAGTGTGTGGCTCCAGGTGAGTGTTGAGAGCCATACGACATGACGCTTGAGGCCGGCGTCAGAGCAGGGGTCTCAGCGCTCGTGGAGCCAATGGCAGTGGCATGGGATGACTGCGAATGGCTAGATGAAAGGCCCGGTGGGGAGTTGCTTGAGCGGTAGCCGACGCTGGTAGGGATGTAGGTACCAGGGTGGTGAACTCCAGCGGCAGCGGCATGGTTGGGGTTCTCGTACACGGTACTTTGCAATTGCTCCAAGAATTGATCAATGTTCAATAGATCGCTCTTGGTCCTGAGATTGGGAAGTGGGAGAGAATACGGGTGATGCATGGGTGGGTGCTGAGCTTGGGCAACCATGGTGCCTCCATGGCCGCCATACTCGCCCATACCCGCACCTTGGTAACCGCCGCCGAGAACTGGGAGCTGTACGCCCTGGAGACCCATGAGTCGCTGGCCGACATCGTAGTAGGTGGTTGGGTCAATGGCGCGGCGCTTGGCATCTCCAAAAAACTCGTTGAGCGCATCGTAGGCTGCGCGCTTTCGAATCTCGTAGTCATTGTTAAGTTGCTGGCTCTGATTGACGGCATAGTACACCGGACCATAGGCAGAGTTCTGGGGAGGACCTCCATAGAAGCCTGCAGGAGCACCGCCTGGGTGCTGTTGGCCATAGCCTCCATTGGGACCGAGACCGCCATCTGGATACTGATATCCACTGGCTGTAGCGGCAAGTGCCTGCAGGTCAGCGACAACTATTCTCCATCAGCCATTTGGAAACTACCAGGGAGGCAAGAGGGCTCGTACGTTTACCGTTTTGACCTGGGTAGCCCTGGGCTCCATGGGGACCGCCACGGTTGGGCTCAGGAGAGCGGAGCAAGACAGAGTCATCGGCATGTGTCTTGACATGCTTTTTCAAATCCTGGGGGCGTTTAAAGGCCTTGCCACAGAAGTCGCACTTGTGCGGCTTCAATGGCACGTGAACGCGAATGTGAGATGTAATGTGGTCACGCTTTACCGTAGTGGTGCGGCAGTTGCCCCACTGGCAGGTAAGGTTCAAGTTGTTGGTGCTCTTGCGGCCCACATGACGCTCACAAACATGGTCCTGCAACGAGTTGTTAACATACTGATCACCGAGCTGCAACGCGCTGTTGTGACTTGTGCAGCGCATAACAAAAGAAATGCAGGGTCCAGCCATGGAGCCGGTAGCCTACCGACGAGGACAATGAGGCCGACAACTAGGCAGCGTGGAATGCATGAAAACACACTTACGTAGAGTTGCTCAGCGGAGGGCAGACGCTCACCGCAGCTCTGCCACTGGCACACGAGCTGGTCTCCCGAGCCAGCAGAAACAGGCGTCGGCGCATTCTGCTGTGTTGGAGTGCCTTGGGGTTGCTGTTGCGGCGTGGTGGCCGCTGCGGGCAGAGTAGCATTCGGATCGCTCATTCTTGGCGAACCCAAAGATAAGTGGTGCGAGTTGACGGGATGTGGTGACTTGGAATCAAGACTGGGATGCGAAGTAGATGGCGGCAAACGGTGACAAGAAGAAGGAGCAAAAGTCTTTTTGGAGGAGACAAGACAAGCGAATCGTGGGGGAGGAGGGAAGAGGAGAGAGAGAGAGAGAGAGAGAGAGAGAGAGAGTAGGGGAGGGGGTGGTGTGTGTGTGTGTGTGTGTGAGAGAGAGAGAGAGAGAGAAAGAGAGAGAGTGTGGATTGGGTTGTGTGTAGCAAGGCTTGGGGTGGTGGAGGAAGAGGTCAAAGAGGAGCGCCGAGTTCAAATGAGAATTGGCGGCAGCGGAGCGGGCGAAGAAAAAGCCCAGCTCTTAGATTGCACAGCCTCGGGGCCGGCAGGAGCCAGCTGGGACGTCGGCGAATAAAACCTCCGTGTTGACACTAGCGTCTTGGCCATGACTTGGCATGATGCGCCTTTTTGCATCCGACCCGATCGACCTTCTTTTCTTCTTCCCCCTCCCCTCCCCAACCTGAAAAGGGTTACGACGACCGCCCTGGGCATACTCACACTCTCTCTCTGTCTCTCTTTCTCTCTTTCTCTCTTTCGCTCTCTCTGCTTTGATTGCTTCACATCACGACAAGACCGTTGTGTGTTGCAGCTCTTTTTTTTTTTTTGCTTCTTGCTCTACCGGTGCCAGCCGAGAAATCTGCTGCTGCTGCTGCTATAGTGTCCCTCCCTCCCTAGGCACTCATCTAACATGCCCAGACAAACGCACGCGCGCGGAATCTTCTTGGTACTTGGCTCTCAATCTGAACCGGCGGAGAATATTGGCATTTGCATCCACTAGTATCCGTCACGCCATGCAAAGTGGTGGCGACAGCTGACAATGGGCCGTCATGTTGCCATTACCATGGTTAGACAGCCAACGCCCGTGGTGGTCTGGTCTGGTCTTGTCCAGGGGTAGGAGGGGGATGCGCTCAGTAACCAGCCCACCGCCCCCTTTGCGTGAGCTTGATTGCAAGCACGTTGGCCCTGACCTGCCCTGTGATGTTGTAATGTACCTCAATCAGTCGACCAGACGGTGGCCAGATGGTGGCCAGATTGGTACACTGAATGCCCATGTACACAGTAGTGCAGTGGTCCTCATCCTGCATAGAAATCGCACATGTGCTCCTGTATCTATTCATATCCACAGCCCACTTTCCAAACGACCGCTAGCCACGCAGGAAGATGCCGCACCATCCCAGAGGCTGACACAGTTCTCCGTAGTACTACTAGGGACCTACTTGCCTTGTCCTTGATCATCGTCTTATGCGTGCCAAATGTACGGCTGCCATGGATGTTGATGCGCATTTGGAAGGCCTCCCTTGTCAGGAGTAGGCAGTCAACAGGCACAACGTTTGAATGTGCTGGGCTCTCTCTGTCACTTGTCGGCGGGACAATGTTCCAAGATCTCACCTCGACTTTTCCACTCTTGGCCTTGCCAAGTACCAGCCCCCAGATTTCACGGCACGAATTGCGCAAGCCAAGCAAGGAGCTCAGTACTATAGTTACTCTTTAGCACAATACACATGCTGGTTCGGGCCAACGGGCCCTTCAACAGCCAGAATGGCCATGTGTAGAAGGTAGGCAGTTGTACGACTCGGGATACCGTGGAGCCCTTCCTTGCTAAGCCTTTTGCATGGGCTGTCATGTACCGGTAAGCGTACCTCTGCCTGATGGCCGAATGTCAAGCACCTCTGACAATCCGTTGTCAAAACACTCCACGCAGCACCGGTCCACGCAGCACCGGGCAAGTTAGCCGCCTAGGCATGTCGTGAGCAAGTGTCGCCATGAACACCTCAGGCAGCGCACGTCCATCCGCCACATCTTCCTACTCTACTCAGGAGTATAGAGTAAGTAGAGTACTCTACTGCCCTCTCAAACGTGGCCAGCAAGACGTGCCACACTCCTCCAACCCCGCATTCGCAGCTGCAAGTCAAAAATGACGGTGGCGAACCCGAGAAAACGCACCGACTACCCTCGAGCATCCAGCACTCATGCTTCCATAGAGTATGACACCCACACCCACACATACTTGCAGGAATCATCCCTCCTCACTTCCTGGGCACCACAACGAACCACATGTACGGTACCGCACAAGTGACGGGCATACCGCATTTCCCTCCCACCAGGCGGAATCCTCCCAAGACCAACTGGCCCCGCCTTGGGGCATTCCGCGCAGGAGCCGACTTCCCGAGAGAAATGTCTTGACATGCTTGTCCCAACACCCTGTGTATACGTTCCCTGCGAAGAAAGAAAGAAGCGGAATTTACGCCAAGTCCCGGTTATACTTGAGTACCTGTCGAGCACGATTTGGGTGCAATCCGGCTGCCGGTTACAGGAATGCAATGGAGAGGCAGCATAACAATCCTTGAGTTGCCAGTAGGTAAGACCAAATGTCTTCGGCTTCCACGGCAACTATGAAGTCATCGCCGATGAAGGTCACATACAGATTAGTAGGTACCCATCTGCGAGATAATACCGCATGACTGGCAAATCACCTGCCTGGGCAGTCTGCAGCCGAAAAAAAGAGCAATGGATTGCGCGCGTCTTTTGCTTTGTAAACCACCAAACATTTTGACCATCGACCACAGCTGTAGTGACTGCGCAAACTCGTGGAATTCGGGTCACAGCCACAAAAAGAACACACATGACTTGACATGTCACCCTCAACCGCTTTTCCCCCGGCTCCCGGAATCGACGTCATGACTTGAGAAGACCGATTGTCCTACACACCCCCCCCCCCCCCAACGGCGGCGGCTCTATACTTGGCTCAAGCCCCAAATGTCAGCCCATAAAGTAATACCTCACTAAACCTTGACCCAACCCTTTTTTCGTCCGCGCATCCCCAAAAACGTCCGAGATCCCTGGTCCAACTGTACCGGTAAGCCTTGGGGAAAACTTCATTTCTGCGGCTGCACGTATGCGTTCGCTTCAACGAGATTCGAGCCAAATTAAGGTTTCACATTCATTACTACTTTTGACAGACTCGGCTGCAGCTCGCTGCCGAATTTTTCAAATTAAGCTTTGAACTTCTTCTTCTCGCTTTCCTCGAGTTGCTCGTTGTCCAGTTTGAGATTCTTTCCTTTTTTTTTTTTTGGTTGAGATGGCGAGGCTGGTCGAACAATCATGGCCTACCGTACTCTCTCTCCCAGCAGTTTTCTCCAAGTAGAGCCTTGAAATTCCCCCTGACACATGGCTATTCGCACCAACACCATATAGTACACAGGCGACTTCACCCAAAAACCCACAATCTACTCTACCCTCTATCCCCCGGTAACCACCTCACCCCTCTCCCAACCCTAACTCTACGCCAAGAAAAGCCACTCCAAAGCCCAGCAAAACAGTCCCAGCTTAAATATCCTTCTCCTCCACGCCCATGCTCTCCATCATCTCCTCTCTCTTGCATGAGACATCATCTCGGCCTTTTTGCCGACGCTGACATGCTTTCCTACCTACCGTACGCGAGGTGGGTATGGTGGGTTAGGTATACTTGGGATGATTGTCTGGTGGAGGGGGTCAAGGGTTTGGTTCTGCTGAGATGGCTTGGTCAATGGTTTATAGGATGGGTAGAAGAACTATATGGGTGTGGTCGTGGCAGGGTCGAAACGGTGTTGCTGATAGGAACATGTGGAGGCTTTGTTCAAGTCACTAGGTTATCTTAAGAGTGAGTCTTTTCTCTAACCTTGCACGGATGAAGACTTTCTTTCCACGTCTTGGGACTGAAAATACTATAGAGACTGCATGTCAAGGTTAGGGAAGAAGGTGGTGGTACAAGTGTTGGAGCGCCATCACACAATAACGTTCAGTAGAAAAGACGGCTAAGGTTCGAATGAGCCCGCTCTGTACGACTGATTTTCAAACTCATAGTCTATATCATCTAATGCGGATGCAAACTCTAATCAATCTACAAACTACACCTCAGTCAATCCCATCAAACACGCCATGCTTCTCCAAATCCTGTCGCGACATCTTCGGCATCGGACTAACCGCATCCGCTCTCTGCATGGCGCTCTCAATACTGCCCCAGAACTTGGCCAAGTCTACCGCTCGTGGAATCCTACAGCCTCCTTCGCCCTCTGGAAGTCTAGTGACTTTGGTTCTACCCAATTCTCCCACCTCGGATTGCACGGGCGAGTGGACGCCGTCTGTGACAATGTCGACCTGGAAACGCTCGCCGCCTCGATCGTCGAATATTTCGGGGTGGATGGCTGCAGACACGGCGAGTGGATCGTGGAGGGGAGGTCCTTTGGTGATGGAGAAGACGTCTGCATATGTTCCAGCGAAAAAGGACATGATTTGCGTGAAGAGGGCCCGCAGAGCTGATGGTGTGCGATCAGTCTTTGCAGTGGATGGGTCCAGGGGCTCGTCGGCTCCGTAGAGCTGGGTGCGGCGGATGGCTTTGGTGCCCAGTACTTGATGACTGAGATCAAGTGTGATCAAAGTGGTTTTTGATTTGAGGATGGGATGCGAGAAGATGAAGTGGGATGCTTCTGGGTCACACTGAGAAGGTTAGTGTTGGTGTCCATGGGTTTGGAAGTATTCATCTTACGTATATCTGCGGTTAGATTAGCCATGGTCATGGAGAATGGACATTTCGCCGACTTACATTGAACTCTGCGTATGCGGTCCAATTTCCAAAGCGCTTTCCTTCGCCCTTGACCTTGCCCATAGGTGCATCTGTGAAGCCTCCTCCAACAGCGCCACCCATGATGCTCAGACCCTTTAGATGAGCTGCGAGATCTGTGTGTTTCTGAAACAGCAGTCCAATGTTGGTCAAGGTGCCAGTCGAAACCAGCCATGCGGTATTGGCTGGCGTCGCAATCAGAGCCTGGTACATGGCTTCGAGATGGTCGACACCGCTGATTGCAGGTTCAATTGGTTGAGGCAGCAGCGTAACGCCATCGAGCCCAGATTCGCCTATACATTCAGCCGTCGGCTTGGCTGCCAGCGAGAACATGGGCGTGTACCGTGAATATCGGCTGCATGGACGGCATCTCGTACAATGGGCTTTGCTGCGCCCGAGTACACCTTCACATGACGCCTGCCAATTGCCTCCAGGATGGCTCTGGTGTTGAAGGTAGTCTGATCGAGTGCAGCATTTCCGTGGACGGTGGATAGTCCGAGAAGCTCGACGCGAGGATCATGTGCGCTCAAAAGCAGGGCATACGCGTCCTAGGTTGAATGCATCAGCAAGACATGACTGTAGGTGTAGGCGGGAGGGGTGGAGGGACGCACGTCATGCCCAGTGTCCTTGTTGTGTTAGTACACGAGTTGTACGGTAGAGCCATGTGCGGGCGGGGGAGTTACACACGCAGTCTAGCCACAAAGGTGTCTTTGATTGGGTATTTGTGGTAGTCGTCATGGTCTCCTATGGCGATGCAGACTGCAATATATACAGCATGGTACGGCAGTAGGAGTAGTAGTAGTAGTAGTAGTAGTAGTCGTACAGCACCTGCATGCGACACGGTAGCACAGTCAAAATCACATGATCCCAAACTCCAGGCTCCCCCCCTCCCCCCCCCCTAACTACCGGTAGTAGCGCGGGGAACTACCGGACTCTGTGGGGATCGCCAATCGGTACCGGTAGCCAGTGTTCTAGAAGCAGAGACCGTTTGAATAAACGGGCCTCTATTCATGCCGAATCCACACCTTCTTTCGCGCTTCGTCTTTGTCGCATCATTTCGTGAAGAAAGAGGAAGAAAAAGTGTACAAACATGGTGCTCAAAGCATGTCCGGATAGGCTTTTTCGCTGTTGCGCTGCACGTGCCCGAATCTTGCATTGCGCCGAGTCCGAAGGATCCGCCAGCCTTCTGTTCCCTACCTACCACCGGTACACTCGCCAGCTCTCCCTATTTAGCTACCGGTACACCATCCAGCGTAGCGCATACCTTCGCATCTCTCACCAGACTTTGCCCCTCCTTTTCGTCTGAAGCCACTCCTGCTTGATCATCGGGAGTGCGGTCATGCCTCAATAGGAGGAATTCTGCTTTTTGTCTGCCTCCCTTTTCTAGACATGTCGCCCATTGGCTTCACCATGGACCTCATTCGTCGCCACGCAGGCCATCACGAGGTAGAGGTCGGTCAATACATGGGCTTTGGCTACTACTCTGTGACTCTCACCGAGGCGCAAAAGCATCAGAGAAGAGAGACTTTGGATCGATATGGATTCATTGCCCAATGGTCTGTTCTTGTCATCTTCCTCCTGTTCCAGCTTGGCTTCTTTGTTGCCTGGATCCTGAGGAGCACAACCAAGAACGACCCACTCAAATCACCGTCATTCAACAAGCGCCCTGATGCAAGGCTATTCTGGCTGAGAAGGGTGCAGAGTATCTGTAGCCGGACTGTATGGTGGATGAACAAGGACGTCGTTTCTGGTTCGAATTGGGGGACCCGGGCTGAGTGGATAGGCGCAACGCTGTGGACACTGTGGCTGCTGGTTCTGTGCGTCGCGCAGACTGGAAAAGGTATGTACATAACGTATATAGAGCCACTATGGCTATCGTAGGAGAGCTGACAAGTGCAGATTACCTACATCTCACCAAACGATTTGGTCAAATCGGTGCATCCCAGCTGCCAATACACTATCTTTTGGCTATGAGAGCCCCCTACTCGCCCGTACAATGGCTCACACGCTTGTCTCACGAGCAGATCAAGAGCTACCATCAAATCCTGGGGCGTATCACGTTTCTCTTGTTAACGATCCACGGAACCCTCTACTTTGCCTTCTTCATCGTCTCCAAAGTGCTGGCCAAACGGATCAAGGAAGGCGACGTGATTTGGGGCATCGTCAGTATCATCCTGTTCGCCGTGATCAGCACGACAGCACTTGGGTTTGTGCGACGGCGAAATTATCGAGTATTCTACATGTCGCATATTGCCATTGCAAACCTCATCATTGTGCCTCTGTACCTGCACTGCTCGCACATACGTATATTCGTATACCAGGTGCTTGGGGTCGAAGTGTTACACCTCGTTTTCCGAGCCTTGCGTCTCAAGATGTACCAAGGGAGCATCAAGCTACTACCAGGTACCAATCTCGTGCAGTTGCGCATACCGTTACCACTAAAGAGCCCTGCCGTGAACTGGAAGCCGGGACAACATGTCTACTTGAGTCGACCATGGAGCCAAAGGAAAGCACCCACGCTTTGGGATCAGTGGGTCATGACCCATAGGACCAACCCTTTTACCATTGCCTCTCTTCCCGCCAAGGACAAGGAGCTACTCCTTGTCGCAAGGACGCTCAAAGGCAACACCAAACATCTCGCAGAAATCGCGCGATCGCTTGCACAAGGTGGCAGTGGGGTTCCCATGTTGCCTACGGCTAGTGGAGACATCCCCATCCTGCCCATCATTCTCGAAGGTCCCTACGGGGCGTCGAATCGCCTACCCGATTTCTCCTCTTACGACCATGTACTTTTGGTGGCAGGTGGAGTCGGTGCCACCTTCATCGTGCCCATTTGTAGGAGCCTGGTAGAGCTTCAGGACCCGGTGTCTGCAAGCCCGAAGATTCGTTGCATATGGGCTGTGCAAAACGTGGCCGACATCCAATGGGCCTTTCCTGCGGCGTCGCCTTCTGCTACCAACAACGACGAGGATGATGCAGGTCGGGAAGAGAATGGAGATGGCTTATTGCAGCGGCCCAACGCGGTCGAGGTTTACGTTACACGAGCGTCAGGGTCGAAATTGCAGGCTGACGCTTCCGCCGCAGGCATCTTTGCTGCTGACCCAGACGGAGATGAGGAAGGAGAAGGCTTCGAATTGCAAGAGAATGAGCAGCTGTTGGGTAAAGAGGCGCTGATGGAGAGGCCTCGGAAGGGTGTGGTGGTTGCGTCTGGCAGGCCGAATTTGGGTGAGATTGTGGACGAAGTGTTTGGCAAAGGGTCGAGAACGGCGGTGATCTGCTGCGGTCCGAAGAGGCTTACAGCAGACTTGCAGAGGAAGGTCGAGGGCTGGGTGCAGAGGGGTCACGATGTGTTCTGGTACGAGGAGAGGTTTGGGTGGTAGGATTTGGGTTGAAGGCTGGGTGGGGAGGCTGGTGTTGTGGGTATCTCCGTGATGCGCCGCTAGAATCTACCGGTATATTGGACTGTCATGCGTGTGTTTTCCTTTCCCCCCTCCCCCTTGATCAGGATGACATGACACCGATCGCAGGAATACCTACAAACTAGGTAGCGAGTGGCTGAAACGAACGTTTTGTTCTGGTAGTTTTTGGAAAGGGTAGGGGGGCCGAGAACGGGGCCGAGGGTGTGCGCTATGGGCCGATACCGAACCTATTTTTGATGGCATCGGGAAAGGCTGCGGCGGGCGGGAGCTTGTCTGGACCAATGTTGGATTGTGCATTGGGCTGTTGGTGGGCAAGGCAGCAGAGGCAATCAAACTGGGATGGGTAAGAGACTGTTCGTACGTAGGGCGATAGGTTGTAGATGTTCCCTGGAGCCAGTAGATGGACGAAGAAGCACGTGCGGTTGTTCGTTTTACTACCATGGATCCTCTTTATCACCTATGAGGCAACCTCAGCTAGACGGGTATGCTGTGTGTCTTTACTACAATGCATTGTTACCTATCCTCGGCCCCGTTACCGGTACCTAATCTAGGCTGGGCCAATGTCATCTGTCCACAGAGGTACAGGAATGCAATTCGTCGAGTTAGATGGATACTACCTTTACATGTCAAAGTTAGATTCAGCAGGCAGCCGAGTAGAAAGTACATGGTAGTAGAGTAACGGTATAGAGTATGTGACGGGTAGAGTAGAGATTGTCGTGATGATTCGATGGGCAAACGAGTCCATTGCCAGCTTCACCTTTCCTCTTCGGACAGACGGCAGGGCAGATTGCAGCGATCCGCGCACGTCCAGTCCAGACCAAGAACCAAGCGCGAATCAAACAAACTTCCCCGGTGACTGGGGGGAGAGAGAGGGAGAAAGGGTGATCATCATCCCGCCCTCCTTGTCTTCTCTTCCCAGCTCCTTGTTGTTTGTTGGTCAGTTGGTGGAAGCCCTCCTCCTCCTCCTCCTCTGTTGCACACAACCCGCCCGCCATCGCGACCCTTTCACGAGCCCTCACAGCCAGCTGCCGGACCAGACGCCTTGCGCACACGGCAGTCTTCATCGGTCGCTACCATTCACTTGTCATTCCCATTCCCCTTGTGTTTTTCCCTATTCGCTTGCCTCCACACACTTGGCTTTTACTTCCAACCTTCGCAGGGAAACCAGCTTGTGTGTACTCTACTTGTGTGTTGTGTGTGCGTGTGTGCTGCTGCACATGCAAGCTTTCCCCCCTCCCTCATAGTAGCCCTCCGCGCCGCCTACTCTACTTCCTCCTCCCTCCCTCGTCCCCCACACCGACCGCTTTCCCTTTTCCGCTCCTTCTTCAGCCCCCGATTCTATTCTCCCTGGCAATCCCCCTTGCTTGACCCAGCTCACGTGGAAGTTCTTGTCCTCGCGGCCGGGTCACTACAACAACGTACATTCAACTGGGCTCCGTCTTGGACTGGTTGTCTCGTGGGTAGTACCTAGGTCTAGCTAGGTAGTCGTCGGACATAGCCAGAACACGTGCTTGGGACGAGGGGGTCAGGCTCATCACCGTCGTCATCGCGTCCAACCGTCGCCCCTCGGACGCCCACGGACGTCCACGATCAAGAGGCAAAAGGCCCAGTCTCAGCTGTATTGGTGCCCTCTCGGCGCGTCACCGCCTGCACACGCGTCCCACTGGCTGATCTCTTCCATGGCCGCGCTGACTTCCTCTGCTCACCCCCCCGCGCCTCACCAGCAACCAACGCCCCCAAGCAGCTCCCACGGCAAGGGCGGTGTCTGGGACTTTGCCGTGCCTGCACACGGCTCGGTACGTACTTGATCTTCTTGTTCTATCCTCTTCGAGTCCACCGGTGCTGACGCGAAAGGGGGAAATAGAGAGCCTCCGAAGACGAAGAGCCCTACATGTCTGGGTACACGGCAACCTCTCATGGCACCCGCCACGCGCACACTTCTCAAGCCAACGGCTTCGCCAAGCCCGTGCGCTCCCCGACTTGGGACTCACAAGACCAGTACGAGTATAGCCAGGCCAAGAGGGTGGCAGACGGCCAGGATCGCATGAATGGGCTGCACAAGAAGGCTAGTGGGGATGTCAGGGCCAGGGCCGTCACCAGCGATCAGGAAGGGGTGCAAGAGTACTACAAAAGCCATGCCAATGCAACCAATAAGAAGACGGCCAAGGGCAAGCCGAAGAAGAAGGCTACACGTTCCACTTCAGCAGACCCAAGCCTCTCCAAAGCCGAACTGGACGAGACTAACTGGATCCACCGTGACAAACTCAAGGAAATCGAGACGAGGGAATTGGAAGAGGCAGGTTTCAGAGTCGGTCGTTCGAGCAGGTCCAACAGCCGCTCTCAAAGTGCCACGCGACGACCACGGGACCGCACAAACTCCGAATCCACCGAACTGACGCAGATGGAAGACCGGGCTGAGCGACGGCTAGTCTCTCCCATACCGGCCGAAGATGACGAAGCGTTTGAACAGTACAACGCCTGGAATGCTACGAATCACGGTCAGGGCATACACGAGTTTCAGCCGGCCTCGCCGAAGACAAGCCATAATGGGAGGCCCAGTACTTCTCGCATACCTCTACCCAAGACGAGCGGTATCCCCGTACCGGCCCTGTTGGCAGACCGCGATGCTCCCCTGACGAGGTCTCGGACGGGTAGCATGAACTGGAGTGGAGATGCGATTGCGACCAATGGCGCGCGCATGAGGAGTGGCAGTGTCGGAAGTCAAGCATTGCTTGATGATGCTGAAGAAGGACGCCAGACGACGCCGCCGTATGTTGGACATGCACGCAATCTCTCGGCTGGCAGTAATTCTCCCAAATCGCCCCAAAAGTCTCCTGTGAAGGCCAAAAATCCGACCAAAGCGAATACCACCACTGGAACTAGGAAGACCAGTGCCCAAAAAACACAGCCAAAGAGAGTGACATCTGGCGCCGCTTCCGGAAAGCGACCAGGTACGAGTGGTGGAGCTGTGTCTCGTCCAACCACGAGTCATCGGCCAGAGGGTGAAGCACCGTGGATTGCAACCATGTACAAGCCAGATCCCCGTCTCCCACCAGACCAACAGATTATCCCTACCCACGCCAAACGCATGCAGCAACAGCAATGGGAAAATGAGGGCAGGGTTGGCTCCATGTATGGCAAAGACTTTCGTTTGCTCGATGATAGTCCGCCCGACAAGCGGCTGTCTCAGATTGATCCCATTCAGCTCGAAAAGGCCAGAGAGAACGAGGCATGGCCGTTGTCAAGCCCAGAGAAGCAGGAGCAGCCCCTTGAAAGGCAGGAATCAAATACTGCCAAGTCTCCCGTAGCGGAGCAGGGTGGTTACAAGCTGACTCCCACCATTGCTCAAGGAGCCCGTTCTCCGTCACCCAAAATGGCTCCGCCTATTGAGCCTGCTGAGCGCAGGTCGTCAGGCGTCACGAGAATTCCAGAGCCTATCGAGGAGGCCAAGGAGAAGAAAGGCTGTGGCTGCATTGTCATGTAGCTGCCACACTCTCCACATCACTCGACGTGCTTATTTCCTTCCTGTATTGATACCATTCTCTGTTTACCCAAAACTCTCTCCTTTCTGCCGGGCGTTCTGAAATTCAACCTCGGTGGTCTTCTGTTCATATCCAGTTCACAGTTCTGTATATCTGCCTTGACAGCGTTCAGCGACCCTTTTCTATCCATCCTATTTCTTCTTCAATTTCAAAGCGTCATAGCCCCATTGTTCGCGAATGGGCGTCAGGTTTTTATAGATGACATCCTCGCGGAGCTTTTTACTGTATTTTTTTTTCCTTGGTTGCAACTTGTAAGCACATATCCCCATGGCCGTGGACTGAATTTCCTTTTTACATATTTCCTTTGGAAGCGGGCGCAGAACCGCTATGCTCTTGGTCAGTTGGACTTGCTGTCGGTGGAATGAGATATGGATGGAAGGAGGGAAGGAAGGTGTAGGTATGGCTACGGCTGAATCTATGTGATGTAGCACATATATGGCTGCATAGAAGGTGCCAGACTGTACAGACCATCAACGATACCTCCCGTCATTTTGCTGTTACCTTGACTTGACTATTGTGAACTGGTGATTGCATGTTTGTAAGATATGGTATCTGATTTGTCCTGCCTACCTGGTAGTTCTACAGCAACTGTATCCAACCGCATGCAGTAAAAAGCACAAGTTCATATAGCATACGTCAAACGATAGCTGGCTCGATCCTCATCGAGTCATTTGACTACCATCGATGCCATTGATGGAACAGTCCATCACTGTTGACGTCACGTGTCAATACCGCGCTAGCGTTTAGCACCTCGCTTGTCGGCCCACAGCCTAGTGTAGCATTTTGAGGGCCTAACGGTGGCACTTTTAGAACTTCTTCTTCAACACCATCACCAACTCTTCAAGGAAACCCGACAGATAGAAATCAATCATCATGGTACGCAGCCTTACCCACATCGTGTGCGCAGTGGGATTCGCATTGGCGCAGCCGCCGCCGCAGCCTAGTCCCAGTCGCAGCCCAACTCGCACAACATCTGCTAGGCGTCACTGCCATTGAGGAAGCACGCACTAACACGATGCCTCACAGTCGGACGGAGAAGACGATACCAAGTCCCAAGTTAGCGCGGCCGCCGAGGTCGAGGTCTCCGCGGATGCATCCGGCGGCAAGGGCCAGATGAGCGTGCTCGAGGCCCTCAAGGGTGTCCTCAAGCTCGCTCTCATCCACGACGGTCTTGCCCGTGGTCTCCGTGAGGCCTCCAAGGCGCTTGACCGTCGCCAGGCTCACATGTGCGTCCTCAACGAGGCGTGTGAGGAGGAGGCGTACAAGAAGCTTGTCGTTGCTCTGTGCAGCGAGCACAAGATTCCCCTCATCAAGGTGCCTGATGGCAAGCAGCTCGGCGAGTGGGCTGGTCTCTGTACGTTGCTCCCTTGGCGGGGTGCTGTTGAAGCACTTGTCCACTTTTTTTTTGAGCGGTGAAGGGCACTTTGGCTAATACATGGATAGGCCAGATTGACCGTGAAGGCAACCCCCGCAAGGTCGTCAACTGCTCTTGCGTTGTCGTCAAGGACTGGGGTGAGGAGTCCCAGGAGCGCAGCATCCTCCTCAACTACTTCCAGACCGAGCAGTAAACGTGTCGCATCAGTGTGCACGTTATCCTGCCGCATTTACGACATTCGCATGTACTCCGTCTGGTCATGACAGTTCCGTGTCGGACCCGGTATTCCAGGATGTCGGCTTTGACATTGGGGTTTTTAATAATGGGCGGGTTGCTTATGTAAAAGATGTCATGTGGCGGATCACATGGAATATAGACTGGGCTTCATGGCCATGGATTTCAAACGAGGAAACCTATCAACGACAACTCATTTTCTGTGCCCACTTTGCAAGTGATTGACATTCTGCGGGTCTCTGGTTCTATCTTCTTATCAAAAGTCTATTCAGAAGATGGCTTACAAACTATGTCAAAGCCACGGCTGAGGATACTCCCAGTGCCGATCCCGATCCCTACGTTACTCTCCCCCTCAAGACATCACCTCCCCTCCTCCTCCACCTTCCTCATTACTTCCCGCATCCACTCCCCAATCTTCTCACTGTCCTCCGGCGCCACGGGATAATGATGTCCTATATCCCACTCCTGCGCCACACTCATCCCCTCCCCCACTTCAAAATGGTTCCCCACCATGCTTTTCCCTGCCCATATCCACTCATCGTTTGAACCTATGACATGGAAGGTCGGAATCTTAATTTTGCGCTCCAGCAGTGCGGTTTTTTGCTCGGGGGAGAGTTGAGTCGAGGAATCGAGGGCGGAGAGGACAGAGGCTGGGACAAGCGGGGGAGGGTATGAGGGACAGATTTGGATGCCAAAGTGAGGATTTGGGAGCGGGCTTTGATCATACTCATCACCCTCTCCCTCCTGCTCCCCACCTCGTCGAGCCACGGCCAATTCCCGGCCAATCTCCCACCCGCGCAACAAGCCCGCCACCACCTTGGTGCCCTGGGAAAAGCCAATCAGTCCGACAACGTCCCCACCCGCCTTGCGGACGCGCGCCACGGCGCTGCCAACCACGGCCTCGACCTCGGGACTCATCGTCGCCGTCGAGCTGCCGGCGCGCATGGCTTCGAGCGAGATCTTCTCGGTCGGCGGGAGCCAGCGTTTGTAGGGGCCGCAGCCTTCGAAGAAGGGGAGGATGCCTGGGCCGGCGGGGGAGGGGAAGGGGGCTGGGTTGGGTTTGGGTTGGTTAGTTTGGAGGATTAGGGTTGGGAGGGGTGGTGGATATAATCTTCCATGCTTCAAGCGGGGAAGGGGTAGGGAAGAATACATCTTTGGCTTTGGGTTTTATAGGGAGAACAGAGGAGATTGAGACGCAACAGTAGAGTCCTCCTCCTCCATGACTTGAGCTTTGATCACGGGCAACACAGACCGAGAAGGAAGAATACGGAAAAAAGAGAGGACTTGGTGCATACCTTCTACACTCTCTATATCAAAATACGGCTTAATCACCCGCACCAGCCGCGCAAGCTGCACAGAATGAATCGTCGCGTTACTGCCCGAGCCATGAAAGGCAAGAAGCGTCGGTTTCGGCCTGGCCTTCGTGTCTGCCGCGGTGTCAGGGGGTGTAGATGGTCGTGCGGCCATTTTTTCTTCTTCCTTCTTCGGGCAGCGTTTTGGCTTGTTCTTGCTGTTCTTGCTTTTTTTTTTTTGGAATATATGTGAGGAGAGGAGAGAGTTTGACGGTGTTGTTTGTTGTCGTGGTGCGGGTAGTAAGGCGTTGTAGATGTAGAAGAGATGGCTAGATCCAGAAAAACGCTTGCCACGGTATTGTGTTCCCGACCTTGTTTGTCCAATACGTGGACTTGGTTCCAGATTCGAGGGTAGCAAACAGGCAGACACACAAGTCGTGCGTTGTCTTCTTGAACTATTCCTTTTCTTTTCTTCTCTTTTCAAATCACACAAATCTCTCCATGTATCCCCGCTATCCTCTTCTTGCTATGCTTGACACAAATCTTCACACCTTGTCCTCTCTTGATTTCTCCGTTTCCCGTTTCCCTTTCTATTTTACCCTTCCCGTTTCCCGTTTCCCCTGGTCTCTTCCCAGAACGACACAATTGCAACTGCCCTTCTTTCCCTCGCAGATTCCCAAGGTACCCCGATCACCGGCCTGTCCAAAATACCTCGGGGGCCGAGTCGGGAAAACAGAGTAGAGATTTTCGAAACGCAAGATGTCGCAAACGAAACACTGCGTAGAACAATCCTAGCTTCTCTCTCTGGCAAGATGTGCGCGTGCGTTTCAACAATCGACGATTTCCGGTGTGTAAGGAGGAGGAGGAGGGTGAGGGGCAAGATGGGTAGATTTCCATGCAAGGGTTCCACAGGAAGATAGTCATACTTTCAGACTTGCCCCACCAACTCCGGGTTTGGAACACAACAACGGATCCAAACGGACTGAATCAACAAACGACACGCAGGACTGAAATAGAGGGAGACTAGATGGGAGGCAGTTCCCAGTTTCGTACAAAACGTGGGAGATTTTGAGACAAGTAGAGAATTTGTGCAATGGATGATATTGGGATTACAGGTAGGCTTATATGCACTGGGACAGGCAGACGGGGTAGGAGTATATCTTGTTTCTCTTTGGAATACCGTCGCTCATCCTACCAATGATGATCATCGTGAACTCGCTATGCTTATTACAGCCGCACATCGCCCGAGTGATAGAAACCTTGCAAAAAAAATGATAGAACAACTCCCCCAGTCCAAAAACACACGTCGTACCTCTCTCTCAATTACGCCATACTCAGCCCCGTCCCACTCCGTCTCAACCTGCCACTCCTCGTCGAACTTCCACTCGCCCTTGAACTCGCCCTCACCCGCCCTGCCATATCCTCTTCCTTGACCAATCTCAAAATCTCAATCCCCTTCTCCGTCTTCCCCAACCTCGCCACAATCGCCGTATTCTCCCTCTGCAACTCGCCAATCTGCTCCTTGAGTAGCTTATTCTCCTCTTCGGCAATTTCCATCCGTGACTTGTACTCGTCCCGCTCCCGCTGCGCTTTACTCAGCTGGTTCTTGTCTGCCTCCTTTTGCTGACGAGCAAGGAGCTTCCGCGTCTCCTTTTCGCGACGCTCTTCGAGTTTCCGAATCTCCCTCTGGAATTTGTCTTCTTGTTTCTTGCGATCGCGTTGGTGTCTTTCCGCGGCCTTGTCAAATTCTTTCTGCGACTTGGAAGACTCGCTTTGCAGGTCGATCGACTGTTTTTCACGCGCTTGGTCGAGCTTCTCTTTGAGATGCCGCTTTCGGTCCTCGATTTTGGCCATTTCGCGCGCGTGTGGACTGTCGCTCGAGGTCAAGGGCACAGACTGTTCCGATGCGGTGGATGGGGTGACAATAGAGTTGTCGATAGGAAGGCCATCCGGCGCGGTGGTGTACTGCTCAGCAGAGGCAAAGGAGTCTACCGAAGAGCATGTACTAGACGAGAGGCTAGATGTCGGCCGGTGGAGAGGGTTATATCCTTCGGGCAGATATGCGTCCATGGACTGCCGTAGTTGATTCAGGTACCCCTCTTGTTTGACTGACTTTGCTCCTGTCGTTCCTTGAGACCGTTGAGACAGCCGTCTGACCGCTGGAGATGGCCTGTCCACTATACTTGTTCCAATACCTGCTGTGATGCCATTGGACTCTGCTATTGACAAATTTCGCCGTGGTTCTGCAACTTGAGGGGTGTCGTTTGCACCCTCTTGGCCAGTCTCGGTCTCGCCCGAGGCATCAGTTTGTTCCTTAGCGCATGCCCAGTCAAGGAATTTCACAGCGTCCATGACGATACTGCTGGGTACATTTCTCTCCACCATGAAACGAGGTATACCACCTCCAGGGTCACTTCGCGTGACCATTATCCATTCCACCGGATTCATTTCTTCGTCTGTGCTTCCTTGTAGGGGTATCTCACGGATCATCTCGATGGACTCATATATGCCCCGCACCAGACCATCCCGAGGAGGCGCACCTGGGTGCGATACTGGTATTGAGACGACCATGAAGTGTCGCGGAATGGTCTGACCGACCTTGGAGGCATCGCTCAGGCAGGTATCGGAGGTGATGAGCAGGGTGATGAATTCTCGAGGCGAAACCGGACCTGGAAACTGTGCAGATAACTGGTATACTGAATCTTGTCAGCCAAAATCAATCGCACTTGCGAGGGGCAACATTGCGGCTCACCTTGTAATTGCCCAATGCCATCTACTGTTATGTCCTCGAGACGTTGGTCTCCGCCAATTCCTCTGATGTTCCCCTCGCCGGGTCCACCCTGTACCTCGAGAGTCTCTGGGAACTCCCTCAGCATGGCACGCTTCCACTTGGCGAATCCCAAGCCTTCGGTCACACCTGTTCGCGCGAACCATGCGCCATGTCGATCGTGGCCTGCCATCTTGAAGACACTTATGCCCGTCGCCGCCTCCTTATTTCCCAACTTCACCGGCTTCCCCCATGCCTTCTGCAGTGCCTCATGTTCCTTGGCAGGCGGTGGCCTTCGCACCTCTGAAACAGTCAGGTCGGCTGCATTGAGAGCAGCTTGTGGCGTTGTGCGCGTGCGCTGGGCCGACTCGTATGGTATACCATTGGGAGGCGGAGGCACCGAATTCGCAATCAATTCTGCATTGGCGAGAATGGGAGGCAGGAAGCTCTTGAGGTCATCCGTAGGGATCTCGCTGAAGTCTTTGGGCCGGAGACACTCTAGCGCCTTGTGTAATTCGGCCATGGTGGATGAAGAAATACACGACCAGCGGCGCAGTGGGGACTACGCTGGAACGTGGGAACGGATAGAGAGCAAGCAAAAGGGCAATAGACTTGTTTTCCTGTCGTGGCTACTTGCTACTCCCGAGCAGACCCTGTGAGCACGATTCCGACGCAGCCGATGGTAAAACCCGTTACAAGGCGGTGACGACGGATGAGATCACTGCGCTACGAACAAAGTGGGGAGAGAGCATTTGACAGTTGGATTCGGGCAAAGGTTCAAAGGGCAAAGCACAAGTAACTGGCCAGTACTATACAGGGCTGTAAGTTTACCTGTAAAGGAACCGCGGATGTAGAAAGGCCAGCCAGGGTTGTTTGCACTCGAGGTACCGACGTCATCCCTGCTTATCATGGCATGGGCTTTGCTTTGTGTGGCTCTGGTTGTGTTCCCCCTGCACTTCCGAATCCCCGCCACGCACTACGTCACATTACTCTACACTCTAGAGTTACCCCCAGTGATTCTGTGCTCTCGTCTTCGTTGTGCGTTGGAGCCAGGGGACATGTCCGGATAAGTCGGAATAGGCCACCATGTACGACACACAGGAACCATGGGGGAGGTGGGGGAAGCATACTGGAGAGTCTGGGTTCACATCGAGCCAAGATCAGAGGAAGCCAGCGTCCACTTGTAGTCCGTGGCCATTTGCGGGAGAATTCATTCAGGGTCAAACATCTAACCAAAGCACAAAAACAGCCAAGGTAACCTTGCAGTTCAGTAGTCGAGTCGTCAAATATTGTACTTGTAGTCCTAGTTAGGTATTCATATACGTGTGGTCCGTGCTGGCATGGGCACTTGATGAAGGAAGGGCAAAGGGCGACGATGCAAGGAACTTTGCGAGACTATTGAACACGGTTCTATCACGTCCAACTATGTACAGAGAAGGATATTTCGCGGATCTAAGTAATGCACCTCACCAATTGTCAAAACTAAGCTAAACTAAGCCCCACCCTACAATATATACCACCCCCCTTAGACCAAAACATACAAAGCGCACATCTAAAGCTTTGTTAGTCATCCTGTCACATCACACAGAGAGAGAGAGAGAGTGAGGGAGAGTGAGGGAGGGAGGATCAAACTCACCATGCTGAGGCCTGAAATCATAGTACACCAGAACAACACATTGTTTAGCAACGTGCGCCCCTTCACCCACTTGCTCCTCTGCACCATCACTATAGGCATTTGGAGCATCATGGCCATGAATCCATAGCCACGGAACTTCCTCGTTATACATCCCATGACCAGCTCATGGGCTAGCGCGGAAATGAGAAACGTGAGTGCTGTAGCCACCGGCCGCGACATGTGATTTTGCGATGCCGAGTAGACGTGTCGGCGCAAAAACCGATGAACAGGTATGTTCCATTCGCGACTGAATTCGAGCCAGTCGCAGCTGTTCCACCAATCGGCATAGAATTGACGGTCGGCAAAGCCTGCGGTTTCAGTTCAGTATTACGACACGATGAATGGGGGTTACCCAGCTTACGAGTGATTTCTGCAAAGGCCCCCAAGACGTATTCGAAGATGACGAGGAACGCAAGCAAAAATGTAATCATGAAGGGAAACAGTAAGCGTCCAACCGTTTCACCCATGATCAGGGCAAAATCAAGAGAACTGCTCGAGTTGTGTAATCGTATCGCGGATTCTTCCAGGACCGGAAGGATGAATTCCTCGGCCGTGATAATCATCAGGAAAATACAGCCGAATACTGCGAGGGCTTTATAGAAGAGCTCCAGCCAGCGAATGTGGGTATTGCGAGGATATTCTAGCTCGTAACAGAGCGTTGGACAGAAAATGAAGTCGGTGAAATTGGCAAGAGTCAGGTTCTCGGGATAGGAAACACGACCTAGTGGAGATGCAAGTTCAAAGGCAAGGTCCTCGCGGAGTTGGGTCACATATTCTGCGTTGGGTTCTTTGGGCTCAGACTGAGACGAAGGCTGCGTATTCTCATGGAGATGGGTGCGGGGCTTGGGATATCGAACGGCAGCTGCTTTACTGGCCCTGCCTGGGTGGTCTAGGTCGTTCAAACGTCGCAACGTCTCACTCAGGTGTCCGTTGTAGAAGCTGCCATAGTTAGCAACTCAGTAGTCAAGCGTCATAAAACTGTTCTTACGCATAAGAGTGCATCTTCATGAAAATGGCAAGCAGGTGCAAGGTGAAAAAGACTTGGGCTGTCCAGCTCCAGTCACGGATGAACGGGTACCTTATTCCACATCAGCATGACTTTGCAAATGCGAATTTAGGAGTGTACGTACGTTGTCCAGAATGACAGCCAGATGATTTGGTAGACACTCTGGATCATCATCCCCAGATGGTTCCAGCGCAAGGCTTCGACGTTGAGGAAGAGCCTCTGCAGCGGCAACGACAGCGCTGTGCTGAAGACCATGGCACCATCCACCAGGCCCAGTTCGACTACCTTCTCCTTGAAGAGCGCCCATTGTTTGATCCGGAAAGGATATCCAGTCTCTGATAAGTTGCGCAGCATGGTCGTAATCACCATGATTGCCAGTCCAATCCAAAACAAGACGAAGAAGCCGCGAAAGTCATGATAGTCGCTGTTGGGATCGAAATGAGAGACGCGGTCCACGTATTCGATCGTAGGGAACATGCGTCGCTTCTGCTGAGCTCGAATCTGCCGACGCGCTGAGGATGAGGCCAGAAAGGAGGGCGGGGCATCTGCGGGGATCGGTGTTGATCGACCACTGTATGGTGGGTAGGTACAGTGTCAGCTACTGAGTTGTTCCAAGTGGTTGAAGCAGCAAGTATTTCTTCGACGCACCTCGAGACGACTGAACCGGGCTCTGAAGGTTGGGCATTCTTGCCGAACCCTTCGTCGCTCAGTCGGGGTTTAAGCAAGTCGATGCGCGTGGGTTTGCGCGGTCTTGGAGCGTGATACTCGCCATCCCCACTGTGAGGCTTGGTGTCAACGGAGCTAGATTCAGCCATCATGAAGGCTTCTGTGTGGGCATGTTGGGGAGTCGCAAAGGCGCGGAGGGTGCGGGTATTGAAGATGAGGTCAGCCCAGGATGCAACATCAGCAGTCTGCCTGCCCTGCTCACTAGTAGCTCTCAAGTGGCAGTGTGTGACGTGCGTGTGGTGAAGAGGCCGCAGACACGTGCAGGGTACGGCCGGCGGTCAGTGAAGCCAAAAAAAAAGGGGGGGAGGAGGGGGGTCCAGATCAAAGGGAATACTGTACAGAGGGTTATGATTACATTCGAATATATACCAATATACCATATGCCGGCTCATAAGACTACCTATCCGCCGAAACTATACAACTACGATGCAATCCTACCTCGTAGCCATCACTATGCCTGAGGAACCATGTATGTGCT